GCAATGTTACTTCATTACACATTCTAAAGGCAGAATGCAATTGTCATAATGGACTGCACAGAGTATGATCAAAAGGTTCAGGATATCCTCAACACAGATACCTATGTATATCCGCCTAATCATAGCACAGCCTTACCGACTCCGTTATACAGGCATCTTTGCCCTCCAGCTCCAAATGCCCAAGATTCTTAGGCCAACCAAAGATTTACAAACCCGATAAACCACTCCAACCCAATGTGTCTTCAACCTACAACCTCGCACAACACTTAACATATCTCCTACACCCACTCGTTGGCAACACGCCTCACCATGCACCCAATTCAGCAGGGTTCATCAACACCATAAAGGGAATTCAACTACAACCCGCCGACATGCTAGTGAATTTTGATGTCAAGTCTTTATTCACTAATGTACCGACTGAAGAGGCATGCCTCGTAACCAGTCTCAGACCCCGAACACACCTGACATGCCGGTTGCCGTCCTTCCATGCATTGGCCATGCATCGCACAAGATCCAGCGTACCCTCCATGAAGTCAATATTAAGGTCTACTACCAAACCCGGAATAAATTAGAAGTGAAATTGAACACCAACAAAGACAAACACAATCCGAGCAGTCAAGCAGGAGTTTACTGAATTCCTTGCTCGTGTGGCAAAGTGTAGCATAATCAGCACTGCTTTTCCCCTCCATTTTTGCATGCGGTTGCCCTTATCAGAACTTGCTGTGTGACACAGTACATGTATTAGAATTTTTTTTAAAGATTTCTGTCTGTTTTCACAAAATGTTAATTTTGGGGTGTGATTACACAGCATGAGCTATTGGTGAGGGGGCCACCTCCTTCCCTTTAGTTTGTACATGTACACCACTTCTTTTATACAAATATCTTGCCTATTTTTGTGTAATTTTAATTTAAACAATGGAGATGCCTTACATGCATATCAGGTTGGGTTATATAATCCTTTTATCTTTCTACCATTCTATTCTCTTTTTTTTTTTAAAGAATATGCAAGCCAACAATATTAAACACTAGTGTACAAAATGAAATGTTCACATCCAGAAAACTGAGCAGGCGAGCCGTGGCTACAATATGTGCACATGCGGGCTATGAAAGTAAGTGGCTGATGACCTTTGATATTCTCATCTTTACTTCTGTAGAACGATAGTTGCCATACCCCTCCCCTGTCTCCCAAATGTGTTTCCCCTCTCTCTTGCTAACATTTTTGGAGCATTTATTTTTCATTATAGCCATAAAGAGGAAATATTTGTTTCAGAATGAAAGGGAACAAATTAAAGAAACATGAAATACTCAACTAATACAACAGCATAGTTTTAACGCACACTTGAGTTTACCCACTCTCTGGCTAGAGCTGGATTTCCTCATCAATGAGATTAAGTCCCAGGTGATCCCGTTTCAAAGGCTGACAAACATGTTTGCTGCTTACCGGTATGACCTATCGGGTGTCTCCAAAAAAGTATACCCATTTTTAAACATAAATTATCACAAAATCCACTGAATATTTCAGAAAAAGAGGTATCCAGAAACTCCAAGACAGACGGAAATTGTCCATGGTGTTCTAATTGTTGGACATTCTCACAAAATGTGAAAGGCCATGTGTCAAGATAAATCAGGACATGAGCACAGAATCATTGACAGATGATTAGTGGCAAAGCAACTGTCACTGTTCCCCAACTGATCCCAGTGCGTGAAATTAGACAAAAAAAGTGGTCAGACAAAATGTCCGAGCACAATCAAAAGTGTTCTGCCATTGTCAAGTTTTGATCTGCCATTTAGCGTTCCAAATTTGATTCACGCGCTCGATTGATTTTAAATTTCTTGGCCGACAAACTTTAAATAGAACACTTAACCTATGAAAAAAATATTAGACTTATGAAAATGTTTAACTTACACAACACTATAAACTTTAAGAACTGGGAACATAAGAACTATATACACACTTTACTTTCCGGTGGGTCGGTTCTGTTCGTCCACCTCGATGGCCTTGATATAGGACGTTCGGTGTTCTTCTTTCTTGACCAGCGCTCCGTCCAAGTACACCTCCACTCTGGTGAACTCCTTCACCTGGGCCATGCGCGTCAACTTGGTAGAGGCCGTGGACCTGGGCGTCTCCATGGACATCTCGCTGTCTAAATCCTGGCCTTCCAAGGAGGGCATGGATGGTGCTGGACTATTGGGTGGGGACACCTCCACGGTCTTCATCAGCTGGAGCATAGCTCGGAACTTACCTCGCTGTCCATAGGGGGAATCGGCAGGCCGTGGAGACCGGACTGGACCCAGCAGGGGGGACAGGGGGGTAGGCGAGAGAGACAAAACAGCCGTGTCTTGGGCTGTCTCGTCAACTGGTGGGGCGGTCGCAGGGGTCTCTGGTGGGGGGGTTGCCAGACTTACCGGTGTGTCTTTGGGAGCTAGTGGGCCCCCAGTCACTACCGGTTCTTCCGAAGAGTTGGTGTGGTACCTGGCCTTCTTCATGGCTGGAGTTGAGACGCCTGGTGGGGCATTGTTGTCCAACAGCTCCGGGTGGCACATCTGTATGTGCTTCTGCAGGGTGGAGACGACACCAGCCTGGTAGGAGCACTTACTGCAGTGCAGGACGTTCGCACCCTTGTGGACATCGTTGATGTGGCGCCAAAGACTCTGGCGATGCACAAACCAGATGGGGCACTGCCGACACTGGAAGCGTCTGGGGGCCTTCGTGTTGTTCTTCTCCTGATATATAAGTCTTGCAAATGCAGGGGCAACTCCTTCCCTGTGTTTGCCTCCGCGTTCAATTCATCATGAATAGAACTTGCCTCAACTTGGGAGATAACCCCCGCTGTTGTTCCCTCACGGGCAACTCTTTTCTCCCTTCCGGGATTGAAGACCCGCAGCGGAACAACATCGGCTTCAGTCTCAACCAGAGATCTGGCCAACATCAAGCCTTTCTTGGCTAGGTCTCCACCACCTTCAACCGGTTCGACCATGGCTGGCCCGAGCAAGTCGGGACCCTTCCGAGCAATTTTGCCGGGGACCACAGCTTCATGACCTGGTGGGATTACCGTAGTTTTACAAACTACAACGCGTCCCACAAAGGGCTCGCCTGCATCATGTGTGCACTTGACCCGCTCACCATTGAGCCTCCACTCCCTTAATTGGAAGTCTATGATTCCACCTGTTGGCACGAGAAAATCCATGCCCAGGATACCACTGTATTTGATCTCAGCAAACACAGCCTTCACTTGGTGCGTGGTCCTGCCAACTTGCACCTCAACCAGAGCCATGCCAAGCACAGCTAACTGGCTTCCGTCCACCTGTTTGACTTGGACATCTACCGTCTCCAAGACGGGTCTTTTCCCTTTCGGGATTTGGTAATACACCGCACTACTGATTAGAGTGTCGGTGGACCCCGTGTCAATCAAGAATCGACACTTGGTTGCTCTTACCAACCCATTCACAAACAACCCATACCGAGGACCACGGCTTGGATCAGACAGAGTTATTACTCGTTGCCCATCCTCCCATGTGGACCTCCCATTTCCATTTTTGGTTTCATCACCGAGTCTACTTTTGGACCCTCTCGACCACTCAGCCTTCCCGCGGGTCCTCCGGGGGCTGACTGTCGTTTCCCTGCTTTGGAGTTCCTTTACACTCCCGGGCAAAATGCCCTCTCTCACCACATTTGAAACACTTAAAGGTTCCAGGTTCGGCTTTCCCGGGCTTGTGCGTCTTCGGAGACACCACGCCCTTGCCTTGTCCCTGGCCCTTGCTCTGGTCGGACAATGCCTTGACCATCTCAGCCACAGATTTCAATGTCTTGGCCTGCCCATTGAGACTTTCCTCTAGAGTCTCTAATCTCTGCTCTGTTACAGAGTCTAAAGCCCTTGCCAATTTGGCGGGCTTTCGGTCCAGCAACCTATGCTGTTCGACCTTCTCAAAATTCTCAGTCTCCAGGGCAGCCTGGACTGCTTCGTCCAAAGTTTTTGGACGGGCTCTGTTGATGCCCTCTCTAATTGAGTGGCTGTCAACGGCATCTATGAAGTGGTTCTTTGCCAACTTCTCGCGAGCTTCTTCCTGTATTTCAGGGTATGCTCGCACCGTTAACTCGTGGATTGCTTGCCCTAATTCTAGCAATCCCTCTTTCTGCTTTTGGCGCCGGTGTCTTAGCTCAACGAGATAATTCTCACTCTGTCGAGCTGACCCAAACCTACGCTCAAGCAACTTGACAAGCGCACTGTACGTGTGCTTTTGCCCAGAGTCGCCCACCAACCGTAGAGCATCCCCTTGCAAGCTTGCGGATAACCACTTCGCAGCTTGCTCTTCGCTCCACTGGTTTACCTCACGGCATGACTCGAAATGGCGGAAGTACTCCTTCCAGAGCACTTTCCCGCTGTACCGGTCAGGGGTTATGTTTGGCCTACGATTTGGTGGCCTTTCGCTTCCCTTCAGACCTAAGTCGCCATGGACACGTGCCTCTCGTTTCAGTGGCCAAGGACCTACTGACGAGCTGTCCACTCTTTCAGCTGAACTGCTGTTTTTTGCCTCGACTGGTCGAGTTGCGAAACTTAGCAGATCGCTGTGCACTTGCGGTGCCTGCTTGACCCTGCGAGCCTCTGCTCATAATTGAAAACAACCACAACAATCACAAACAACAACCAACCGATTAAACCACAGTACAATTAGCAATACAAGTCAAAACACAATGTGCAATCAAATAACTTAGCAGAGAAATCACTTAATCAATCATAATCATCCCACTTCTGACACCATTTGTGGCGGGGATCTCCCCGGGCCAAACCTAAGTTCGTTGGGACCAAGTCTGACACCTATTAGAGTGTAGCTGATCTTCCCGAACGCAAGCTTTCCCAAGACGAGAGACCACTCAGAGCGACCTCAAGGCCTAGGGAGCAGGTCCGTTTTGGAGGAAATATACCGCCGATTATGATGATTGTGATTACCCACTGTTAATTGCACAATAAACCAACAACAAATACACATGGACAACAGGATTGTCGGCACAACAAATATGAACGTAATTTATTATACAATAATCAAGAAATAGGCAGTAGTGATTGAGTCTTAATGAGGTGGTTAATTATCAGGGTCCCTTAAATACAGATGCAAGTCAGCTAACAGCTCACCTAAGCAGCAATTAATGCGCACAGCTTGAGCAATGCGCCCAATGTAAACAATGCACTGGTAAGTCAACAAGGTGCACTAATGTAAACAATGCACTGGTAAGTCAACAATATACACTAAGTAAACAATGTACACTAAGTAAACAATGTACACCAAGTCAACAACGTACACTAAGTAAACCATGTACACTAAGTAAACAATGTACACGAAGTCAACAACGTACACTAAGTAAACAACACACACCAATGTAAGTAACGTACGCCACTGTAAATAACACAAGCCAATGTAAGTAGTGCACGTCAATGTAAATAACACACGCAAGTGTAAGTAATGCACGCCAATGTAAGTAATATACGCTGTCAGCCTTAACCTGATTTACGCTTTACCCATGCAAGCTAGCGTCAGTATCGTACAGTACATTCCCTTGTACGGCTGCGCGTCAGCCTCACACAGCGCAACTTCAGCACCGTAAGGACCAGCGCAATTTACACAGTGCGCGTCAGCATTACCCAAACACAGAGCGCGAGCAATATACGACCTTACCGTCCGCTGTCCACAGCACAACTCCTCCGCGCGATCACGTGAATAGCCCTCAAGTGAACATGCAGTCCGTACAAACACATATGCATGTACTAAACCTATGGGCCTTAGGCAACCAATAGCGTACGCGCATTCAGCCACTGGGCTCTTATGCTCCGCCCAGTCACCAACACACAGTGAATTTACGTTAGTGCAATAGGGATGACGTTGTAAATAAACTAGCTATAAGTCCCTACACTTTCCGCTACAATATTCCCTTTAAACTATCAATGATGCGCTGTCATAACCACCCTTGCACTGATTGTTCAGAAGGCCGATTTAGTGTGCAGTGCAAACTATATTGATAATGAGGCTTTGCCAGGAACTAGTCTTTTAGGGGTACTGAAATTACAGTCCATGGACAGCCGTTACAAATGGGCTCTTTTTAGTAAATCTTTATTTTTTTCAGACAAGTATAAGAACGGTAATACTTGTAAAATGTTGTCTCAACATTTAATTACTTAAAAAAACCTTGACTCGCAATGCATTGTAACTAAGCAGTTACAAAAAATGTACATGACTGGCTGCCGATATTGGCTTTTATTGAACATCATGTTTATAAATGCTTCATCACACTATTATTCCCATTCATACATACCTTTTTAATTAAAAGTCATAAAATGTGGAAAAGTACAACGAACTTAGTCCATGTTTAGGCCACTTCTATGGTGTGCATCGTGCACGGCGTACTCACTGGTTCACTCTGTTGTAGCTGGCGTACATGGTACGCACACTGCATATGTGGCGCAGAGCCTCATACACTGTTAATGACCAGCCTCAAACGCTGCTTACTGGTGTTTAAACAGCGGTTTAAGACTACCCATGTGATGGGCTCTCGACCAAGAGGAATGAGCAAACTGTCTCAGGCATTTATGAATAACATTTTTACATGTAAGTAAACTTAAAATGAACTTATTATGATTATTATCTATCATGATTCACGATGATGTGTGTTTGTGTGCAATAGAAAATGCTGCAGGCTGGAGGCCATGCTGAATTCATTTCCAGAACGATGCTCAGGACACTCGCATGGAGTACATCACTGGTCAATTGTCTATGATTAAGAACAGTCTGTAGATGATGATCACATCCATACATTTCATTTCTTCCTCCTGTAAAGAAGATAATTAGATAAGAATGTGAAAGAAGGAAACTGGACATCTTGTGCACAATAACCTAACTGTAAGATTGGTAAAGCGCAGTAGTCTATTCAAAAACAAAATAATAATTCCTTTTAGTTACTTTTTATGTTACGTGCGAAAACATGCAAACACATTTCTTGATCTATTCAAGGTTCACGTTCTATCATTTCATAAATTTGTAATCTTTAAAGTTAAATTTGAATTTAGAAGAAAAAAAACGCTGTGAAGTATGCTAAGTCATTCCTGGTTAAATCACCCCACATTTTAGAGAATGATTTCAATGTGGATGAAAGCTTAATTAAAATGTCTTAAATGGCCACCTAAGAAATGCTTTATGAGTTAAGTCAAAAGTCATCAAAACCCAAATCCTCTTTAAAATTTCTGACTGAGTTGGTCAGAGTGATCCTACCAGCGTTTACATTGTAGCTAACGTGTATATCCACAAATACTGTGGATGACATGGAAATGGAAATCAGGCCCCCTCCCAATTGTTGACCCCTTGGTCTCTAGCTGTGCCACTATCCAAGACCCGAGTGGACTTGCTAGCAGAAATCTGTGTGAGGGGATCTATTTTCTATTAACTATGCAGCAACACTTTTTTTGGGGGGGGGGACCTTTGGCTTTTAAGGGACTCAAGGCAATGACCTGTAGAAACTACCATCAACTTTCTTGTTCTGAATAAATTAGCTTGAACCAATGCTCATAAGGGGTACACAGCCAACTGTGGTTGTTGATTTCCATTTTGGTTGTAATTAATTCAAAAACAAGTTATTACTTCTTCCTAGGATTCATGAGGGTCATCTCATGACCAGTATGAGCTTGTGGTGATGTGACGTCCACGTCAACAACAGGCGATGTACTAGAATGGCTGGGGCCAATCACTTCTTCTGCCTGAATTTGGAAACAGAAATAAATAAAATAAAAAAATTATTACAAGAAAAACTTGTAATAATTGTATGCAAACTCCAGAGAGTGTTCCTGATAGGATAGTAATGGAAGTCTTTTGACTTACTTCTCCTGGGGCTCCTATATTTAAAAGCCGGAAAGAAAACTCAAATTTTAGAGGTGGTAGGAAAACCTCAGAATGACTTTCCAAGAAAAGCCTACCGAATCAGGAAGCGACTGAAATGCAAATGAACATGATGGCCTGGGCTGCCTTGTAACTGGGGCACAGAGATGGACGGCGAGGAACGTAACACTATGTCAACCTGATCCCCCAAATGAAATATGCACACAAACATCCACTTAGTGTTCATGCTATAAAGCAAGTGCACAGCGTTGATAAACAAGAAATAGAAAAGGTTCAAGTCTGTGGTGAACCAGAATTGCCATGATTGTTTTGGCAGGTCAGTGATATCCTGTCCTTAGAGTATGTCAGTTATGCCTAGATGGTTGATTATTCTGCTGATACTAATACCCGTGTACATGTAGTGCTGCAACTGACACTCAAAGTTCGGTTTTGGTTCGGTTTGGTTGCGGTTCGATTTTTTTTCTCCGAACTTCAGTTCAGCTTCTGAAGTGCATACATAATGTACATGTCAATGTATTGGGCTACAATGAAAAGCACAGAGGCCGTTTCCCTGTTCGAACAAACACGTGTGCACCGCGCACATGTATCTGACAGAAATAGGCACCGCAATTTCCACATGCTATACAACACAAGTTGAAGGATGAATCTTATTTTTGTTGTGTAAACAAAATCCCGTTATAATTTGACTTGATGACGTTGAGAAATGAACATCGTAAATTGTTACCGTGTTAGTCGCAGCCCTATCCGGCCCGGCCCGGCAACTATGATAGAAAATTTTCCCACACGCGCTGACAGTTTTCCCGACGAGTTCCGTCCCGTCCGAGCATGCCCTTCTGAGCACTAAAAACTTGCTTCATGGCAATAATTGCTGATTAGTTTTGTTCTAAGAACAAACAGGTCCTTTTACTGTGCCAAACTTATGAAATCATAATTATTTTAGCAACACGCTGACAAGTAGCTGCCGTAAAAAAATAATAACTTTTCGATTTGCGACTGCCATGAAGAGTCACTCTGTGGACGGATCCATTAATTTTGTAAAGGGGTGTTTCACCCTCTTTTGAGAGATTACATCGTTTTTCGTATACATTCTTTACGAAAAAAAAATATATTGCGAAAATTAAGAACTTATTCTGAACATGGGAAAGGTTTCAGACCCCCATAAAAAAAAAAATTTTTAATTTTCACACGGTGAAAAAAAAATGAAAATGCTGGCAAATTTTAATGAGAAAAGCACACCCTTCGCCGCAATTGGTTGGTCCAAACGTACTACGTCACGCTGGGCCGGCCAGATACTGACCACGCTGGATGAATTACATGCAAACAGCACACTTTTCATTGAGAAAATCCAAGGTGCGTACGATTTTTTCAAAGCGTATCAGCCCGATATCCTATTGTATGCCTTGCTAGAACACTGCAAATAATGAAGATGAATGCGGTGACTTAACACGGTAAATTCAATTATCCGTGCACTTTAATTTTGCCATTTCATTGCAAGCATTAGCATTCCTAGCGCTAGCAACAAATACTTGCCGAACTCTTCCGAACCGACATTTGGGTTCGAGTTCGATTCGGAAGGCCAAGTTCGGCTATTTCTAGTTTGGTTTGGCAGTTCGGCTGCAGCACTATGTACATGTACATGCATATCTGGATGGGTTGAGGCAAGTGGGGTAACATAGTACGGTACATACCTAATTCAGTGGTTATGTCACTATACTGAACATTTGGCTATACCAAACATCGTCCTTTGCTCCTGATTTTTTAGTACACAACGTACCGAACATTGTTGGTGAAAAATGTCAACAGAAGAGCGACAAGTGGCTATTATTTCCCCAAGGAATAGAAGAGGAAATCCACCCATTGCTGTAGGTAGTAAGCTAAAAAACTGTGTAATTACGTTATTCAATAGTCGGCAGATGTTCAAAGTCATCTTTCAGAAACTACCAGGGCGTGCAGGGTGAAGTTCTGCAGAGGGCTATTTATTGAAAAGTGAGTTATCAGAGCACTGGCAGCTTAAAATCGCTATACTGCACGATCGCTATTATGAACAATTTCTGTGGATCCTGTGATGTTCGTTATAGCGACGTTTCACTGTAGCGGAATATGAACCAGAGGCCCAGTCATAAACCTAGCCACTCATCGTTAACAGATATCTTTCACTGTTCGCAGCTAGTGAATATCAGTGAGCACAAAAGAGAGAAAAGAATAGAATTACACCCACCTCATCATTAGAGTGCTCTTGAAGTTCTTTTGCCTGACCGTCCCCTTCCCTTGATCCTGCCTCAGTCCCTGGTTCTGTCTTGATGTATGCTGATGGATACCAGTGATTACCCTCTTCAGTCATGCCACTTGTCGCACGGCTCTGGTCCTCTAGTTCCATAGCATTGAGACTATGTAAATTCAATGGCTGATTTGGCTGTTCTGGCACATCAGAAATGATCTCTGAATCTTGCTCGTTGTCTGGAAACTGGATGTCTATGAATGGCTCTTCTTTGAATCTGAGTGTGTTTTAATTGTATCACTCAAAGTTAAGCAATTGTATCAGTATTGACAAAATTTTAATATATTATCATTGTGTCAGTGTTTAAAGATGTACTGTCTGTCTCTCCCCCCCCCCCCCCCCCCCATCCAACATCCAATAAAAACAGGCCCACATTTAATTGTGGTTGATTACTTCACAATTATCTAATTATTTGTGGCCCAACAATAATTCAGTTCAACAATGACTCAGTAGGGCAATATGGTTCCTGCCTCTATCAGAATATACATATAAAATAGAGAGCATGAACAAGTGTATTAGCAGGGGGATGGGTGGTGGCATCTGTTTTGCATAAAAATTGCAAACCAAAATTTAAGTTTTTTTCCAAAAGAATATTAGGTGGTACAACTGCTAAACTGAATTTCTAATCTTGTAAACACAAAATTATTAACTTTTGAATGAGACATTTAATGAAAAACAAAGTTCAAAGAACGGCATTGATAACTTATTTTTACCTCTTGCAATAGAAGTGGGACACACTCCTAAAACAATTTGAAACATAGTCAGACCTACTCTGTGCATATCATGCACATTCATTTTGCTTACTTTTCAATTTGGTCATTTAATTACACATGCACAATCTTTAATTGATGTATTAACAGCTGAATATCACAGGTAAAATGTTTATGATCATTCCCCAGAAACTAGTGAGACACTGGTCATCTGACACTGCAGAGATGCAAATAAGGAATTAAAGGAAAGCAGATGAATCACTCTGGCAATGTCCAAATAAATAACTTTCAGATACCGATATTTTCAGATTACGTTTGTTTTGTTGCTCCATGTACAAAGCCAGCTTTAAAAGGTATGCCTACTGGCCTAACTCTTTGATCTTTCTGTCTTATGACTGTACAGTGCCTCTAAGGCTACCTATCATGGCTGTGTTCATTTACAATATAATCACACCAACCACACATTAAGGTGAAACTGACTATTGACATGGCTTGGATTACCCCATGACAAGTACATATCTTACTATTGTAGTCAGGAATTGAATTCCTGCATTAAAGAAAAAGAAAAAGAAAAGTAGAGCTATGTCTGTTCAAACAGAACATACGGCTTTTTTCGCATTTTATTAATGTTTATGTTATGTTAGTACTTTTGCAGTCACTTTTTAGAGTCTTTGATACAGTTAAAGGTTGTTCACAATGCTTAGAAAAATTCCCCAAAAAAGCTTTATCGCATGACATCACATGCCCTGTGATGACATCATCTTGAAAACCCTTCTCAATGCACATTTTGTCATTGTGGTCTTGCTTTGAACCAAGTTTACAGTCAATCCGATGAAAGGAAGTGTGCAAATTTAGAAGCAGAATAAAAATATAAATATTAAAAAATCATAAAAAATCAAACAATTACGTCATCATGACGGCACTTCGGACTTTGCATACTAGTACCATTATCTACCTACCCACCAAGTTTCATAACCATCGGACCTTTCCTTAGATGTGTTTTAAAAAAATTGCATTTTTGATGACATCATGACGACGTCACACATTTTCAAAATTTCGTGCCGTGCAAATACCTATTACCTAACAAACCAAATATGAAAAGAATTTTGAATTTTGTATGTTGCATTCGTGAGATATAGCTTAAAGGTCCAAAACTTCATATAAAATTGCATGATGACGTCATCATGACGTCACCTCGTTTTTTACCTATAACACATCCCGGTCTACCGACATACCAAGTTAGAACCGAATCGGACTTACAGTTAGGACTTCAAAATATGCATGTTTGTGATGACGTCATGTGACCCCTGATGATGTAATCACGACGTCACTCTTCGGGACACAACTTTACTATAGGGACTATGTCTATGCTAACTTTGAACGATGTATGACAAAGATGAATGCCAAAAGTGCTCCGTAGAAAAATCATATCCAAAGTCTATGGCATTTTTGGCAACAAAAAGAAAGAAAGACTAGAGGTCTATGTCTGTTTGCAACAGAACATAGGGCTTTTCCGCATTACGATTTTTTTTAATCATTAATATGCCCTGAATATGTATGAACATAAAATCTGTCAAAGTTAGCCGGAAATCGGCTAAAACGGTCACTGTGGACAGGATTTGACCTCGGCAATACGATGTGTGTGCGTGTGTACAAGGTTTTTGCTTGGACAAAGAGTGATCTAAATAAGTTACTGGCAAAGAGTCGAAAATGCACTTTGAAAATGGAATTTTTTTTTTAATTTTTGATGAAATCATCGTGACGTCACTTCGGACTTTGCATACTAGTACGATTATCTACCTACCCACCAAGTTTCATGACAATTGGACCTTTCCTTATATGAGTTTTGAAAAATCGCATTTTGATGACGTCATAATGACGTCACACATTTTTCAAGTTTTGTGCGAATACCTATTACCTAACAGACCAAATGCAAAAAAGAATTTTGCATTTTGCATGTTGCATTCCGGAGATATGGCTAAAAGGTCCAACAAATCAAATATTCATATAAAATCTCAGGATGACGTTATCATGACGTCACCTCATTTCTAATCTATAACACATCCTGGTATAGCCACATACCAAGTTTCAACCCAATGGGACTTACATTTCTGTAGATACATGTATTAATGCCAAAAGTGCTATAATACGTCCCTGTCTATGCGCATGCATGAACATAAAATCTGTCAAAGTTAGCCGAAAATCGGCTAAAACGGTCACTGTGGACAGGATTTAACCTCAGCAGCACGTGCGCTGCAGGCTGACTGACATACGATGTATGTGCCTATGTACAACGTACATGCATGTACATACTATGTACACATTGTGGACGTACGTGCATGTTTTAAAGCAGAGGTATTGTCCACCTGAAGTTTTAAGCGTGCGCAGGGCATGTCCGAGTTTGCTTATTGCCTCGAAGCTTTGGAATGTTTTAGACCTACCCTTAAATCGACAATTAAAGTAAAAACAAATATAAAAACTGCCATGGTTGATTTTTCAGGAATTTTCAAAGGAAAAAGGGTCTTTTCATTATAACTTCCGGTCTGATGACGTCATACGCCTAAAACTTCTCACACGTCTTAAGGGGGTCAAGGTCATCCTATACACCAATATTTAGGCGATTCTGACAAACTTCGCCACAGACATCTATTCAAAACACATTTTTGTAAATTTTCAACCTGTCGCTAGAGGGCGCTCGAAGATTGCATGACGTCATCGGTAGATGATTTGAAGAATACTATTGGCCAAGAGACTAACACCGTTAAAAGCAAGTTCATATCTATTACCATTTTTAAATAATAAGCCACTTCCGGTTTTGGCCTTGTTCGACCGGAAGCAAGGGTCACGTGATTTCACGCACACTGAATGAAATAAAGACCTCAACCTACTCTACCACTTGCCGGCAACAGAATGCTGCGGACGCGTATGGTTGATTTCTTATGCATTTTTAAATATTAAAAGTGTCACAATTTAATTGCCTATCAATCAACACAGGATGACGTCATCATGACGTCATCATTACACAATGTTGTTTGAATTAGGGTCTTTGCTTGGACAAAGAGTGGTGTAAATGAAGTACTGGCAAAGAGTCGAAAATGTCCTTTGAAAAGCGCCATTTTTTTTTAAATTTCTGTGTACAAAGTCAATGGGAAAAATTTACTATTCAAAAATCTATAATAAAATAGTCGATGACGTCACCATGACGTCAATCTTCGGGACACATCTTTGCTATAGGGACTATGCTTATGCAAACTTTGAATGATGTCTGACAAAGATTAATGCCAAAAGTGGCACTGAGAAAAAACGTGCACAAAGTCTATGGGGTTTTGGCGACAAAAAGAAGAAGGAAAAAAAAAAAAAATGAGAACAAAAACAAAGGCTTTTCCGCACTATGCGGAAAAGCCAAAAAAAAAAAAGCCATTCCAATTATCAAGTGGGTAATGAAAAGTTTATTGATGGTAGCATGTACAACAGGATCTTACCTAGGAGACTTGGAATCGCTGGACACTATTGCATCACCTGGATTCTGAATAAGAAAAAGAAATCTTATAATTAATATCCTATTGATGCAAAATTCCCCACAGAGGAGTGGTAGGAGTCTATGATAAAGTTTACAGAGCCATTATCACCTAATTCAGTGCAGGATTTTGCAGAAAAAAAATATGTTTGCCACCTTGAGTAAATCCTCTAGACATCTCAAGTATTGAACTAGTGGGAGGAGGGTGGTCAAAAGAGGGACATATCCCCCAATAAATTTATGTTTGGGCACACCAATGTCAATGATTCCCCTTCCAAATATTTTATCCCCATGCATTAAGATTTTTCATGAAGTCACCTACAATGTCATGAAAACTGAAAGATGTTGCCCAGTCAGCCCGATTTTTATGGACGTAGCAGTGGATCTCCTTCCCATCATGATACTTTTACTGGTTATTGAGTGCTTGTGTCTGCGATGGCTGCTTAAAGCCAGAGTCCATCATTTGCAGCTAATCAAAAAGTAACTGACGTAATTATTGTTGAAAAACATACTTGGTTGAAAGATAGTAAGGGGACTAAACTCCCTGTGAAATTATTCTTTCTGGCAAGCTGCCATTTTGAAAAAAATCAACAAACATGACAAAAGAAGGCATTTCCAACGGTGCGTCTTAAGAAGCACCGTTGGAAATTTCCGTTAGTAGTTCGTTCTTTTTATTCGGCGAAGCGCGCGCAAGCGTTGACACGATTCACACACGCGCTTGGTTGCTATAATTCGTCAGATCAGTGCGCGACATCGCGTAGATGCAATCAGCTCAGTGAGAACGTGTCTCAGACGCTGAATTCAGGCCCAATTCAAAACAGCCATTCCATGGTGACTCGCGTGACATTTGAACAAAATGTAAAGTTTTAATGCATTACTGTTGTTAACCTGGCATTTATTCAACTCAAATTAGCATGTATTTGAGTCAGGGCATTGTGAATTTATGGTTTAGTTTTTATATGATTACTTTAAAATCGCTATTTTTTTATGTATCACAGTTTCTTTGACGTGACTTGCGTGACAGGATAGAAAAAGGGATTTTTGACATCCCTTGATTCAAATAGCTTTTCCTATGGATCTACCAGTGTTCTAAAAAATATTCTTACTGAACTTAGAACTTAATACCCTCACCCAATACATGCATAAGTTGTATTGTGCCAAATATCCCTTGTTGTAAGAAATGGCCTGAAGAAAATGTGACTTGCGTGACACAAATGCGTGACTCGCGTGACACAGTAGCTTTTCACTTTCACATTATAACTGTAATTTTAGTATAACAAATCAAATCATAATATTATATTAATAAAAATGATTTACCTGTGAATACCTTATGAAAGAGTGTGAAAACTGCTATTTATCCCTTTACTTTGGCAAATGTTGGGGGTGGAAATCTGGTTTATACACAATATCCTTAACAATGACATGGAGAGAAAAAAATGTTTCGGAATTTAAGTTACGGAGTGATGTCATCAATCCACGGGTGATTATTTCAGGAAAACAGTTGTAATTCTTGGTCATGTAGAGTCACAGTTTCCTTAAAAGATAAGAGCTGCAATTAATGATGCAGTTGTATAGGAATGTATACAGTACAGTCAAATCTCGTTTGTACAATCTCTGTTAATACAAAATTCTGGTTATAACAAACATAAAGCCTTAGTCCCGACTGTGCATTTATGTGCACAATGAATGGGACTGATGTTCCTCTTAGTACAAAATTCTGATATAACAAACAATTTGGCAAGGTCCGAACGAGTTTGTATTAACGAGACTCGTCTGTATACATTTGTAAACAAGTCAGGTGTGTTTACAAACACAAATGCCCCGCAACCGTGACTGTTTCCATGACATAACACCACTCTAACATCAAATTACATGTACCTTGGTCAAATGGAACGTTCATTGACAGCATTAGTGTCTTCTGTAGGTTTTATATGAATTAATCCCTAATCCCTATGATCTCAGAATAAATACAAGATTTCTATTGTTTTAGCCACTGTGACCTTGACCCTTGACCTTTCGACCCCCAATGCGATAGGCTCCTTAGGATTGCCAAGGACAATCCACAAACCAAATTTGAAGTTCATATGTAAAGTATATCTCAAGTTATCGCGCTGACAAAATTTCTTTTGTTTTTGCCACTGTGACCATGACCCTTGACCTTTTGGCCCCAAATGCAAAAGGCTTCTTAGGATTGCCAAGGACAATCCACAAACCAAATTTGAAGTTCATATGTAAAGTATATCTCAAGTTATCGCGCTGACAAAATTTCTATTGTTTCAGCCACTGTGACCTTGACCCTTTACCTTTCGGCCCCAAATGCAATAGGCTTCTTAGGATTACCAAGAACAATACACAAACCAAATTTGAAGTTCATATGTAAAGTATTTCTCAAGTTATCGCGCTGACAAAATTTCTTTTGTTTTAGTCACTGTGACCTTGACCCTTGACCTTTTGGCCCGTAATGTAAAAGGCTTCTTAGAATTGCCAAGGACAATCCACAAACCAAATTTGAAGTTCATATGTAAAGTATTTCTCAAGTTATCGCGCTGACAAAATTTCTATTGTTTCAGCCACTGTGACCTTGACCCTTGACCTTTCGGCCCCAAATGCAAAAGGCTTCTAATGATTACCAAGGACAATCCACAAACCAAATTTGAAGTTCATATGTTAAGTATTTCTCAAGTTATCGCGCTGACAAAATTTCTATTGTTTCAGCCACTGTGACCTTGACCCTTGACCTTTCGGCCCCAAATGCAAAAGGCTTCTAAGGATTACCAAGGACAATCCACAAACCAAATTTGAAGTTCATATGTTAAGTATTTCTCAAGTTATCGCGCTGACAAGATTTGTCCGGACACACACACCCACACACCCACCCACACACCCCCTACTTGTTTCACATGACTAGTGTGGACTTTCCATTGCTTTCGTGTAGTTAAGAAAAACCAGTGAAAAAACTCATTTTTCTCAAACTGTGAAAACTCTTTCAACCCAATTTTTTTTCTATGATTCCCTTTAGTGTTTCTCTTCATTCTGCTATACATAAACCTAACCCAAAAATGCCTCTAAACCTGTTTTCCAGAAATGGGGAAACACTGTGTGGACGTGGGGTAAGTCCACACAACGTCGGTGCTACCTACATTATGTGGACGTCTTTTGTTCGGAAGTCCACACTGCGTATGTAAGACAAACTCACACACACCCACACACCCACCCACCCACCCACCCACCCACCCACGGAAGGACAAGGCGGAAACAGTATGCCCCTTCGGCTTTGCCGCGGGGCATAACAAGGCGGAAACAGTATGCCCCTTCGGCTTCGCCGCGGGGCATAAAAACTGAATCAATTCCTTGTTACATAACTAATGCTTTTAAAGACTTAATCCCAATTCTATAATTTAATATGGCATTGTTTCTTTGTATTACATGTAAATGAAACATTCCTGGCTTGTCACCAGGCGCGGATCCAGAGGGGGGGGGGGGGGGGTTTCGGGGTCAAACCCCCCCCCCCCCCAGCTCTGTCCCCCCCAAAAATTCTCATACAAATTCCTAAAAATAAGTCGAAACCCACCCCCCCCCCCCCTGCTGTGACACCCCCCAAAAAATATACTGGTCTAATGTCCGCCTCTTCAAAATACGGTACACCATTCTGTAATGTGTTAATAATCGTCGAATTTGAACAGCGCCCCCGATTGAAATTGGTACTAGCACCCCCCCCCCCCCCCCCCCCCCGCCCCCCCAGTTTTTGATTTTCGGAGGCCAAGTGTCCGGAGAAAAAAACGTGTACATTTTCAGATTTTTGGGCTGATGAAACCCTCCCCCCACCCTGCGAAAATTCCTGGATCCACCCTGGTGACTCGCGTGACATACATCATGTGTGACTCGCGTGACATTCTTGAGATAGTTTTTTCTACAAGGAATGTAGAGCAAATAAGAATATTCATACTTTTATTGATAGACCACCACTATTTCATTTACAAATATCAAACACCAGCTGAATCCCTCTCTAGTTATTAAGTGATATGAAAAAAAGGCCTATTTTGTGACTCGCGTGACATATTTTTGAGGGTGTTTTCACAATGAAATAGTGGGAAAATACTGAAGACATTTGGAAAAATTCTCAATGTTTTATCAAATAGACTGGAATAGCTACCAAATGTATGCAGATAAAGCACAATCTTATGAATGAGCTTCAATTACTTCCTCAGTTTGTGATTTATACCCCTGACCCTCCGTTTTTGCCCACAAAATTCATCCATGTTCAGGAGGCTGAAACTTTTAATCAAATGATTTATTTTTAAAAATCTTTTGAGATTTAGATGGTTTCAATATTCCTCTTATCAAATATAACTGACAAACATTTATTCCTTTCACTTCAATTTTTGAGTTTGGTGATGACCCTTACATGGAATGGCTGAAAACATGATTCAGCAACTTTTGATTTGAAATCGAGAACCTAGCATGATGTTTTTCTCCAAATGTACAGCTGAAGCTGAGCTGAAACTTCATCAGGTTAGTTGTTCAGCGCCCTTCCTTAGATTTTGAGCATGTTTGTTGCTTCAAACGAACAAAATGCACAAATTACAAATGATGGACTATACCTTTAAACTGATGCAGGAGCTCGAATCATATGTGTATACAATGTTGGCACTCCTCATAGATTATTGAGTGGAATGTACTTACCACAAAACATGCTTGGTGTCATGGTATCATGGTTGAAGCCAGTTTGTGGAGCCTGGTTTCTTTTATAAGGCACTTCCACTAATTTCAGCAAGACTAGAGCTTCAGTACCCACCCTTAGTTTGTCATACTGCTCCCTGAGTTGAGAATTTCTCTTCTGTATGAAGGCATGGTAGTCCTTAATCCCAGCTTTCCAGAATTTGAAGAGTGTCTCTGTGTCACCTATGCCAATCTCTTGCAGGACTTGCGACAAGACATCCTGTGGAAAAGACAAGTGGTTTCTAAGCCCAGAAAATGGCTTATAAAAGTTTGATTGAAATCAACACTGCAAGAAATGAACTTACAGTACAGGTCACATCATCTGCACAATGACTTTTATTCTCAGCAGAAAAAAAGGAATTTCAACAATCTATGACATGTGAAATGACTACTGACTTGTGAAACTGGAGATTCTAAAATATGTAAAACAGAAATTGTAGATACAGAATATATTTGAATTTCCAACTTCGCCTTTAAAAACATGAAGAAAAAACAAAAGATACATTCTTATAACTTCTTGCCAGGAACACCGGTGAGTTGTAAGCTGATGTGCTTGCAGAAATTGCCCCAGTTCATTGTGTTGGATATCTCATGTGATATTCTTTCATGCTGAGCATTTATGAGTTTGTACACTCATGTCTGTCATTGTGTTAAGAAAAATGCATTAATTCACAAACAGAAGTGTGAAATCTCGTGGCATAAAAGTGATCGTCATTGCAAACTGCTTTGTTTGAAGCTATTGTGTATATGACAGAAATAATCAGCCATACTGATGCCCCATTGCATCAATTTATTGAGTAACATCGACAAAAATCCGCTGACATCAGAATCTATTTATTAATAATAATCGTCCTTCTAAAATTGAAAAAAAAGTTATCAGTTCTATTCAAAGACGAAATTAGGTATGTTGTAATAAATTCTTGCCAGGAACACAAATGTGGAAATAGGGTCAAAGTGCTCCGTATACTTGACAGTTGTTCTCAACACTGGTTTCAAATCTCAAGTTTCCAAATTCCAAACCAGAAAACTGTACTCAAATTTGAATGTTAAAATATGCAGACTTCAATCCAAGCACCTGTGTTGACATAACCCACCTGGAATCCAGTGCAGCTTGTCAGTGCCTCCTTGTCCACAGCCCCCCTTAGCAACTTGCACACCTTAGTCAAATACTCATGAAGAACATCAGTCAGGGTTTCTGTGGCTGATTCTTGGCTCACTATACAAACAAGTGGTGGGCAGCTGTGTTAGTCAGGCAAAATCAAATGGAAAAGTAAGGTATCACCTTAAATGACTAACTAAAGTGAAAGTGTGCATAAGCTTTCACAGCTACAACTACATGTACTTCATTAAATGCAATGAAGAGGGGCATCATCATACAAGTTTTATATATCAAATTAGGTTTTGCCCTTCACCGACGTTTTTTTTTTTTTTTTTTTTTTTACACTGTATACTCAGTGTGTTACCTCCCGAGTGAAAGTTGGAAAAAATCACTCGGGTGGGACTCGAACCCATGACCTCCTGCTTTCTAGTGCAGATGTCTTACCACTCGACCACCGAGCTAACGGGATCGGTTGGCCGGTTCGAATCTGATGTACATAGCAGCGGGTACCGCATAAACTATTATAAGATGGAATTTTGCGTCGGGGTGATATAAATCAAATTAGGTTTTGCCCTTCACCGACGTTTTTTAAAAAACGTCGGTGAAGGGCAAAACCTAATTTGATTTATATCACCCCGACGCAAAATTCCATCTTTTAAAAGTTTTATATAGCGATACCAAAAAGTGAAAGGTGTCATGCAAAAGTCAGGCTATTACAGTGCTTTCAGAGGCATCCTAGTTGCCAGAATGGGCAGTTATTTTGGACATTAGTTGGCACAATGCCTTGGCTTTGACTTGGATGCTTCAGCGTGAATGATCATCACATACTCAGATCGATTTTAATCCAGGTGGCAAATGCCTGCCAGAATGCACATTTCCCTTTGCCAGTAGGCTGAATTTGCTGAGGCATGAACCTCTTAAAAAAATCTTTCTAGGCAGTTCTGGCAAGGGTCCCCTTGGAATCTAAGGGATCTGACAGTGCGTGAAATTACAGTCCGACATCGGACATTTTCCGACCACTTTCATGGTTTGTCCGACCAAATGCAGATGTGCTCAGACAAAATGTCCGAGCGATTTATGTATTCTTTGTGGAGTTGTCTTTTTCAGAAGTATGAAATAAACGCTTGCACTCAAAAGTATTTTGTTGTTTATTTCCGATGATCCGGTCTGTAATACTTACCGTACGCTGAGCGGCTGCTAACTACATGTACATGTACGTGTTGTCTTATATTCACGCAATAGATGCAACGCGTTTACACCCCAATCATTACACAGTCTAGTACAGCGCGGCGTGCACAGCGATAGATTGGCATTCGTACGTACGTGCCGTTTGCCAAAAAATAGACGTGAAATCAAGTTGATCAATTGTGTTTCGATCAGCAGTCTTCGTGTTTCTTCTACAAATCAGTTAATACAACTTTTTGTACTTTTCAAGTCATTTTATGGAAATGAGCAGTGGCCGTTTGTGGAATTCCCAGTTAATTTCTATTGGGCAAAAGTGTTAAATTGGACCTGATTCAACCTCTATTCCTTGCTATAATGATTCGATCGAGCCTCTTTGGACATTCAGAACTGCAATTTCACCCAGTTTAAGTTATGTTTTCTGCAGACTTGAATCGAGTCTGTATAGTGACGAGTCGAAATATAGAGTATGATAAGGACATTGACGCGCATACATGTAATGAGAATTTAGCAAGATCAAAGTACGTTGTGTTGCGCTGTATGCTTTAAGTGCGTGATTGTTACTAAATTCTCACAACGTGGCTTACTATAGAAATGAGCGCGTGAATCAAATTTGGAACGCTAAATGGCAGATCAAAACTTGACAATGGCAGAACACTTTTGATTGTGCTCGGACATTTTGTCTGACCACTTTTTTTGTCTAATTTCACGCACTGGGATCAGTTGGGAAACAGTGACAGTTGCTTTGCCACTAATCATCTGTCAATGATTCTGTGCTCATGTCCTGATTTATCTTGACACATGGCCTTTCACATTTTGTGAGAATGTCCAACAATTAGAACACCATGGACAATTTCCGTCTGTCTTGGAGTTTCTGGATACCTCTTTTTCTGAAATATTCAGTGGATTTTGTGATAATTTATGTTTAAAAATGGGTATACTTTTTTGGAGACACCCGATAGGTCATACCGGTAAGCAGCAAACATGTTTGTCAGCCTTTGAAACGGGATCACCTGGGACTTAATCTCATTGATGAGGAAATCCAGCTCTAGCCAGAGAGTGGGTAAACTCAAGTGTGCGTTAAAACTATGCTGTTGTATTAGTTGAGTATTTCATGTTTCTTTAATTTGTTCCCTTTCATTCTGAAACAATTATTTCCTCTTTATAGCTATAATGAAAAATAAATGCTCCAAAAATGTTAGCAAGAGAGAGGGGAAACACATTTGGGAGACAGGGGAGGGGTATGGCAACTATCGTTCTACAGAAGTAAAGATGAGAATATCAAAGGTCATCAGCCACTTACTTTCATAGCCCGCATGTGCACATATTGTAGCCACGGCTCGCCTGCTCAGTTTTCTGGATGTGAACATTTCATTTTGTACACTAGTGTTTAATATTGTTGGCTTGCATATTCTTTAAAAAAAAAAAGAGAATAGAATGGTAGAAAGATAAAAGGATTATATAACCCAACCTGATATGCATGTAAGGCATCTCCATTGTTTAAATTAAAATTACACAAAAATAGGCAAGATATTTGTATAAAAGAAGTGGTGTACATGTACAAACTAAAGGGAAGGAGGTGGCCCCCTCACCAATAGCTCATGCTGTGTAATCACACCCCAAAATTAACATTTTGTGAAAACAGACAGAAATCTTTAAAAAAAATTCTAATACATGTACTGTGTCACACAGCAAGTTCTGATAAGGGCAACCGCATGCAAAAATGGAGGGGAAAAGCAGTGCTGATTATGCTACACTTTGCCACACGAGCAAGGAATTCAGTAAACTCCTGCTTGACTGCTCGGATTGTGTTTGTCTTTGTTGGTGTTCAATTTCACTTCTAATTTATTCCGGGTTTGGTAGTAGACCTTAATATTGACTTCATGGAGGGTACGCTGGATCTTGTGCGATGCATGGCCAATGCATGGAAGGACGGCAACCGGCATGTCAGGTGTGTTCGGGGTCTGAGACTGGTTACGAGGCATGCCTCTTCAGTCGGTACATTAGTGAATAAAGACTTGACATCAAAATTCACTAGCATGTCGGCGGGTTGTAGTTGAATTCCCTTTATGGTGTTGATGAACCCTGCTGAATTGGGTGCATGGTGAGGCGTGTTGCCAACGAGTGGGTGTAGGAGATATGTTAAGTGTTGCGCGAGGTTGTAGGTTGAAGACACATTGGGTTGGAGTGGTTTATCGGGTTTGTAAATCTTTGGTTGGCCTAAGAATCTTGGGCATTTGGAGCTGGAGGGCAAAGATGCCTGTATAACGGAGTCGGTAAGGCTGTGCTATGATTAGGCGGATATACATAGGTATCTGTGTTGAGGATATCCTGAACCTTTTGATCATACTCTGTGCAGTCCATTATGACAATTGCATTCTGCCTTTAGAATGTGTAATGAAGTAACATTGCAGAGGCTGTTGATAGCCTGGTGTTCCAGTCTTGTTACATGTATGTTTGATATGGGAGGCTTTGAGTGCTTCAGGACTTGGTGTACTTGCATACAGATGTCGTCTGCTTTCTGTATGCCAAGTTTACGAATAGAAGGTTCAATCGATTGAATGAACTCCTCTACTGGAATCTTGTTAGGGTAGGTGGCAAAACTCATACCCAAGGCTAAGACGTTTGATTTCGTTTTACAAAGATGGCGTTGGCTGAGGTTTACCACCAACTTCGTTTTCTCCTTGTCATCATTGTTCCGATTGTTTTTGGACGTGTTCCGTGAGGCTCTGTCTATTCTTTTTGTGTGAGAGGAAGTGAGGCGTTGGAATTTTTGGATCTCCGAGAGGGCTGATATCTTATCATAATCAGTTGTGTGCATAGTCGTACGGAGACTAGCCTTCCTACTCATTATTTCTTGATCAGTTCGGTATAGGAAACATCGGGTGGAGGCAATTTGTGATCGGAGTAGGGCTTTATTGGCAGTGTGTATGATTCAAGCACAGTAATTACAATGGAACAGCGCCCCCACACTGTTGGCTTGGATGTCATGACCTCTGCCCTGTTTACAATTCAGGTCATGACATCCGGGGTCTTGTGTTCTATCGCGCATTCACACCGCATGATCCGGCTTTCGATGCCGTAAAAAATCGTCAAATTGACACAAAATGTCTGTTGCAGAGCACGATTCTGGTGAAAATACACAACTGTTGACTTTGCTCAACGATATTCAGAAGAGATTATCGGCACTAGAAACGAGGATTGCACCGAAATTGGAGGAAACGTCAGCCGTTACAAAGGACAGTGTGGTCAAAACGACACCACACGACAAGCCCGATTGCGCCTGTGATAATCAGGCAGACACACCAGCCACTGACACCGGTGCGGCCGCCATCAGTAAAGAAGATATCCAAAAGGAATTCAGTGCGGTTAAGGATACCGTCTCACGAGTACATCTGGACTCTTCCCTCAGGCTGTGTGAGGGCCCCTGCCCATCAGGTACCAATAATAAAACTGAGAGGGCACTTTACTTTCTGCTACAAAGAGCAGTCGCTACGTAGAAACAGCTCTGAAAGTACTTCAGCTAGCGTACAGCGACCTTCACAAGAATGAAAGTGTGGATCCAGCATTCTTGGACCAGCTGGCTGTAAGTTTGAAAGCCAACTTGGACTACAATCAGCGTGAGTACGAGGCAGTTATTGTGGCATCACAATTCGACGAGGATACCTCCAAGTTGTTTCGCAGCTTTCAGAAAAACAATGCTTGCTTCTCTGATCGAGGGGTGAACCAGCTAAAATTAGCAGCAGAACTAGCCGCAGCTTCAAGAAAACCAGCATCAGGGGCACGTTCAAATACTAGGTCATATGCCTCCAGAGGCAGGGGTTATTCTTATAGAAATTATAGTAGAGGTGTAGGTGGTCGTCGTCAAGGTAGAACGGATGTGTTCCATGGCTTAGCAGCCAACTATCCTCCCAACCAACCTCAATATGGAGGAGAATAGTTCTGAATCATGCCACTCTCTAACTATTCCAAGTGGCAAGAAATAGGTGCGTCGCCTACTGTTATTAGTTGGCTTCAATGCGGTGTTACACTACCGTTTACCACTGACCCACCGGTGATTGAATTACCTAACAGAAATTTTGCAAGTGATCAAATAACATTTTTGAATAGTGAGATTAAGAACTTGCTTCAGAAAGGTATTATTGCCAGATGTGCCTTTAAACCTAGAGTTGTCTCTCCACTGAATGTGGTACCGAAGAAGGGCAAAAATAAGTGGAGACTTATTATTGATTTACGTGTTGTGAATTCTTACATTGATGCTCCCAAGTTTTTCTAACGAGAAAATTGACGTTGTTTATTCATTAGTGAAGAGTGAGGACCAGTTAATTACGATTGATCTCAAGGATGGGTTTTATCATGTGCCTGTTTGTGAATCTCATCAAACCTTCCTAGGTTTTAAATGGAATCATAATTATTATTGCTGGACCAGACTTCCATTTGGGTTAAACGCCTCACCTTACTTCTTTGCAAAAGTTTTGCGACCGGTTCTTGAATATGTTAGGGTCTGTGGTTTACGTGCAGCCTGTTTGTTGATGACTGGTTACTTGCGGCATCCCCAAGTAATATTGCTGCCCAATCAGACTTCCTAATTGCCACTCTTGAGGATCTTGGGTGGACAATTAATTATGACAAATCCTCATTGGTACCTGAACAAACAAAATTGTGGATCGGGTATAATATCTCAACCTGCCCGGGCACTGTGCCAACAATATGCATTCCTCAAGAGAAAACGCGAAAACTCCGGCGCGACATTCAGAGGGCGCTACGAAAACCAACCATACAAGCAAGGGCCCTTGCACGCATAGCCGGACAGTGTGTGTCTATGGCACAGGTGATCTTACCTGTAAAACTGTTGCTTCGCAATGTGTACAGGGTCATTGCAACCAAGACTTCTTGGCACGACAGTCTGAAACTTACGCCAGCAGCGATAAAGGACCTACAATGGTGGCGCAAGGCCCTAAACAATTGGAACCACACTCCAATACAGCGACGACCTGTGGAACTCCAAATGTTTACCGATGCATCGTCCACAGGTTGGGGAGCATGGATCCTCGAACAAAAAGCAGCAGGTTTTTGGAACGAAAGGTTGAGCAACATGCCCTCCAATTATCGCGAAATGTGTGCAGTACTTATGGCACTTCATTCGTTCCTCCCCACAGTAAAGGGGAAGTCAATCGAAATTGTGTCCGACAACATCAGCACGGTGGCCTACTTGAACCATCTCGGGGGCCCGGCACAGGACTTGTCAGATATTTCAACAGCGATATGGGCATTAGCTTTTCAACACAATATCGCCATCACCGCACGATATTTAGCAGGCCGGGACAACAGTTTGGCCGATGCCCTCTCCCGACTCAACCCGCGATATGAATGGCGACTTCACACGGGTCTCTTCCAATGGCTGAACAGAAAATGGGGCCCTCACACCATCGATCGCTGTGCAACAATCCTCAACACACAGCTACCCCGCTACAACAGTCGCTTCTTCGATCCAAGATCGGAGGGAGTGGATGCTATGGCTCAGAACAATTGGGGGTCGGAAAACAATTATGTAAACCCACCTTTCCGACTATCCCAAAAGTGATAGAGACACTCAAGCAGCAACACGCAACAGCAACATTGATCACACCATGTTGGCCAGCACAAATCTGGTATCAAACGCTTCAAGAAATGTCAATAGCGCCACCCATATCCCTCCCAAACTCAAAACGGACTGTGTGGTCAGTGGGAGTAAGACCAGAACCACTAAAGAATGCCCACTGGCAACTTATGGCTTGGCGAGTGTCTGGAGCAGTCACTTAAAACTGTTGAACTGGTCACCAAGGGCCAGCTCACAATGCATACTCGGCTGGGCGCCTACTACCATGCGTGTATATGACCGCCAATTACAGAGACTTCGCAAATTTTGTGTGGAAAGACAATTGCAGTATCCACCATATGACACTGCCACATTAGCAGAGTTTCTGTGCTTAGTGGCGGACTCATCCTCAAAGCCACGGTCAGTTTTGCGTAGCACCATGGCTGCCTTGACAGCCCTTTATCAGGCTTCTCCAGGCAAGAACAATCCGACAAACTCTGCCGAGCTTCATAGACTGATTACCGCTCTTGAAAAGAGTGGTACCACTGCTCCAATGACACGTTCATCTGTCATGCCAATACAGCCTTTTGTCAGTCTCTTCCAATCTTGGGGTGACAATGAAGGACTGGACTTAAAGCGTCTACGCTTGAAAGCAATAACGCTCTTGACACTCGCGGTTATGGCGAGGCCATCCGACCTTGCACCTAAGGGTGTACTGTTCAACGAAAATGGACCTAGCGAGCCTATGGTTATGTGCAAAAGTCAGCTTACTTTCCACGAGAACGGAACACCGTCAATCCAGTTCTTCGGGATCAAGAATGACATTCACCGTAAAGGCTTCTCAGTTACCATCCCAGCAGCGGACAATCAGTGGGTGGACCCAGTCTCCTGCCTGCACACTTACATCCGCAAATCCCACACCCATCGGCTGTTATGCAAGGATGACCAACTGTTCGTCACTCTTAACCCTTACTCTCTGAGGGTAGTTTACTGCATGTCAGTTGGTTATGCCAATGCCCTCCAGCTGCAGTTTCTTGGCAGATAAACTATCTTGACAGTGAAGGCTCCAATTGGCAGGAGTTGGAGGCCCTGGAGGGTGCCTGATACTGACCAGCTGGGGGCACTCACTTTGTTATCAGAGGACTCTCATTGTTCTCTGTGGCATGTATTGGAGTGCCTGTCCAGTTACCCTTGAAATGACATGGCAGATATTGGAGGGCCATGCAAAAAACATAGGAGATTTTCTTGAGGCACATATTGGCATGCATTGGAGGGTCTAGTAGGGTAAGGGTTAAGAGACCATACGGAGCATTGTCAGCTGGATCAATTGCAGATCAGCTTAATTCCGCTATAGGTCTGGCTGGACTTGGGGGGCGGGGTTTCAGTGCAAAATCCTTCCGACCCACAGCAGCTACAGTTGCAATTGACACAGGCTGTGATCCTGATGTAGCCAGGAAAATTGGACGCTGGGAATGCCCAGCAGTGTTCTATGACCACTATGTTCACTCCAACACTCCACTAAACTTTCGTAATAACTTGTTTGGTCATAAGTGAAATTTGAGCATACTGCAGAAGTGTAGCATACATGTAGTTGTACTTGGTGGTTTGTTAACATATCACTGGGTGCATAACAGACACTTGGCTTACTGTTTACTTGGCTTTACTGCCAGTATTTGGAATTGACATGCTAATGTTTACCAAATTTCTTGGTGTTCTTGTTAAACATTGTCTCTCCTATTATGGCATTTCATTAAAGTTATTTCAAATGTTAATCTTTAATGATCAGTGTTTGCTGTTCCATGAGTAATGTATGTTTGCTTAAAAGAATTGTTTCCTTGTATTAGGTCTCGTAGGTGGAGACTCTTTGGGACTACATTTGCATCTCTACATCTCTTTAGAAAAGTCAGTTTATTTATCAGTTTGCAACGTCTGGTACAACAACGTTGGTATAACTTGACAAGGTTATTCGTGCACTCACCGTAGAGCATTCTGATATACGATTTTCGGCCTTGCATGGTTGAGTATCAGTATCGTTTTAGTTTGCTGTCACAAACGTGATTATTACTATCTGTCCATGTAACAAACGTTATTTCAGAGAAGCTGTAAACATGTCTTTATTTCAAGTTATTTCTTTGGTTGAACAGTCTAGAAAAAAAATGAATTGGGGTTTACATGGCCCTTACTATTCTCAGTTGTTAAAAAGATCTTCATCAATCAAAAAAATGGTAATTTGATATCGTCTTGTCTGTCCCAGTGACATACATGTACGTTATTTTCATGGCATCCTCCTCTCTACAATTTCTTAAGAAAGAATAAAGTTTCTTTGAAAGTTTTCAACAACAAAAAAGCCGATTTGTGTTATGGATGAAAATTGACCTGATGTCATGATGACGTCATCACATGAAATGTGACATCACATTTAAGGTGCATTTTTATAAGCCTATAGCTTCCAAACTATTGGCACTGATGATTGAACACTATACAACTTTCTACCGCAAATCTATGTTATATCAGTCTATAAGATGACAAAAAATACAACAAATTGCAGAAACAGCCATAGGTTTGTCCACAAACATCTAGATTCAAAAGGTGTACAAGGGGCTTTTTAAAGACTCACTCATCATGCTGCTCTAACTGGCCCATGTTGTCGCTGCTAGAAGCCCAGGTCCTCTTAGTTGGAACCAGCATAAGAGGTGTCGCTGGTAATGACTGCAATCTTGGTCTTGCACCTCGGTCTTCTCCTTTCTATTAGAAGTAACAGAGGAACTATTTATGTTTCAGCCCAGCAAGAACACTACAAGCTCCTAGCACCAGACTTCACGGTCCTCCCCTGTCCAATGCGTCAGTATTGCTGACTCCAACTAGCTTCAAGCTAATGTGCCATCCATAACACATATTTACTTTTTATACAACATAATGTGAATTTCAAAAAGAATTTTATCTCTAAAATTCCATTGATATCCTCTTCAATTAAAAAATACATAAATGATCTGATATGCCTTTCAAATCTCTTGAAAAAATCACATAAACCTAGACATGGAAACATATATCCTGTCGTTATCATTATTTAAACAGTTGTGTTTTTAATGAATGGCCTATTTAGTTTCTTTTTTAAAAGATATGAAATGCCGATAAGATCTCAAGCCCTCCCATAATCACATCAGTTTTAATGTACTGTATGTAATATTCTGATCATTTGACAACACATTTGAAATGCTGATTGTATACTGAAATGCTACATTATGAAGCAGTTGCAATCAGACACTAGCGTATTACAAGACACGCCCATTACTCAAGCAGAAAAGCCATCATTGTTCCCATATTCAAGAAAAAAAGATAAACTGGACTGCGCCAACTATAGGGGTATAAGTCTACGCAGTCTTGCAGGGAAGGTCTTCTGCTCCATTCTGCACAATCAAACAAAGAGCAAAGAACAGAACAAATATTATCTGACTCACAAGCTGGATTCAGACCTGGTCGAAGCACGATAGACCAGATGTTCACTCCGAGACAAATAATAGAAAAGTACACCGAAATAGGAAATCCCTTGTACCTCTGCTACATCGACTACAAAAGCCTTCGACATCTTGTGGCAAGAAGGACTCTGGGCTACTATGCGACACCTGGGCTACCCCGGCAAGAATGTGAGACTACTCCAGGCCTTGTACATCATCTCCAAGAGCGCTGTGAGAGACAACAACGGCTTGACGGACTGGTTTAAAATCCTTACAGGCGTCAGACAGGGTTGCATACTATCATCGCAGCAAATTCAATCCTACTTGAGCTAGTCATCACCAGGGCAAATCTGGAAATGAACATAGGTGTCACAGTCCAAGGCAAAAACAATCAACAACCTACCATTTGCTGATGACATTGTCATACTTGCCGAATCTGAAGAAGATATCCAACTACTGATGTCCAAGGTTCAAATATCAAGCAACAGATTCAGTCTCACCATTAACCAGAGTAAAAAGAGGTGCAAATAATCACAAAAGAGAGCACACATAGTTCAATTCTTATTAAGAACATGCCTTTGAAGCAAGTACCAACATTCACCTTCCTGGGCGGTGTTCTAACCGACAAATCTACCAGCAGCCAAGACATCAAAATGGGAAAGGTCTAGCCATGGGCAACACGCAAACACTGTCTTCATTCTGGGAATCTAAAGATATAAGCTGTGACACTGAGATTGAGTTGTACAAAGTACTCATCCTGTCAACTGCTACATACGGATCTGAAGCATGGACACTGAAGAAACGGGAAGAGCAAAGACTCCTAGTCTTTGAGATTTCCTGCCTCAGACATATCCTAGGCATATCAAGAAGAGACAAAATCAGAAACACTTCAAAAAGGGAGGCAACAAAATGACAACCTACGATCGTTGATAAAATACTAAGAGCAAAGCAGTTGTCCTACTTTGGTCATGTGATTCGTATGCCAAACACCAGATACCCCAAAGTTGCCCTAGGAGGAAGAATCACTGGACAGAGCCCTGCCCAAGCATTGGTTGGACAACATCAAACAAAGCTGCCTGGATCTCAGAATATCTACAATATCCAAAGCATGTAGATTAGCCTACAACAGACCCTACTGGAATTCCATGGTGAAACGACTGCTAGCTCCAAAGATTCCTCAATCTGCGGCAGGACAGCAGTAAGTCAAGTAAATCAAAACTTACAAGCATAGATACATACATACATACATACATACATACGTGTACCTTTACGAAGTTACACATGTACATGTTTACCGATTTTGTGGTCGTAGGATTTGATCAAGCTTATACAATATCCTACATGAATTATTCGATATGAAGTGAATCCTGATAGCACACATTGGTTTGATCACAAGAACTTCCATCACTTTTTGAGACTTTCTGGTTTACCAAACTCCTTAAAATTGTGCTGAATCTTTCACTTATGCTTTGAATTCCTCTGATCACTTTACTGTTGCATACGAAAAGCTGAAGGTTTTAATACTTTACTCTAAAATACATGTGTATATATATATTTATAACATATAATAATAGATGTATAGGGCCTATAAATGGATGAATCTTTCGCTTACATGTACATTGCTTTCTGTTTGCAGCTGCTGAGAAGCGGCAATAATTGTCCGGATGCGGCGGTTGTGCTTCATCAACTGAATGGTGTGAATGCTGATGGCATCAGGACGGCACAGCTCAGCTGGCAAGCTGCAACAGACAGAATTCCGACATAAGGATTGAAGGAGATCATAGGCGCTTGTCCATGTATAATGGAAAAGGCTGGTCAATTGATGTTGGTCCTGTAATGAACTGCTGCTGGGGCAGAACTGGGTGTCATTCAGCTGAGTTTCTAGGTCTTCTACAAAAAAAGCCCTTTAGTTCAACTGCTTACAAGTTGATTCAATCCTTGAGAAAATCATTAAGCCAGCCCCACCCCGACGAGCAACCAACTGGCCCCCCAATCGACAAAAACCATAAGTGTAGAAAGGTATATCTTTGGGTTTCTTTTTTATGGTGTGGCCCCTAGTTTGTACTGTGCCCCCCCCCCCCCCTCCCCCAATGCCAGGAGCTGGCAACGGTGCTGCTTGTAGAGAACATATTTTAAAGTGCATATTGCACAAACTTACGATTTATGAGGAAGTGTATCATGATGTGCAGTTGGCTGGTGCAAATGAGGTCCTTCCAATTCAAGAGATTTAGGAGTTAGAGTACCTAAGTCCATATCAACCATATGCATTGACTTTGTTGGACACTGCATGTGTACAAACTCCCCCCAGTGATGCACTGCTTTATTCTACAAGAGAAAAGAAAGAAGATTTACACGCTGATATGGTCATTACAATAATTATGGTATTACTATATGAAAAGACTTTCACAATCCCTCACTTTTACACTGTGCAGTATACTATATCACATTTTCATGCTGAACGTCTTTTTGTTTCTTGTATTTTTTTTATTGTAGAGTAGACCCATATATATCATAATGACAAACTCCCAATTTTTTGTATGATTATAAAACTGAAATTCATCGAGTAATTCGTTGGTCGGCGAGCACATAATTGAAATCAACAGACGTCGAGTTTTTCATGCCAAATTCGTAAAATCAGAAAAATTGTGCGTAATAAACAGGACTTATTTATACAACGGCTGTTTACTGCTGCCCCATGCGCCCCAGCAACATGTGGCTCGGAGTCAAGCAGTAAAAACATCAACATTTTTTCAAAGACTCGCAGAGATTAACATTCCTGTCCATCGCTTTTTTTTTTTTTTGATGAGTATGTTGACCAAGGAAACGGTGACCTCCAAGCCGTTCTTCCATATAAATTTGAGCCCGAACTGCACGAAAAAGAGACCAGCGAAAACATGGATACTGCAACTGGTCCAACTGAAAACACCGGACAACATGGCTCTGATGAATGGTAGGTTTGTGACGTTTCCGTAAAAAAACCAGCAATGTTTTATCCAAGGACTCATAGTATTATGTTCATTAAAAAAACTCTAGATGAGCATCAAAAGTCCTACCACAACATTCTTCGTGACCTACAGACAATTCCCAGGTTATTCTGGTGAATATTCAGTCCAAAGAGACGACAGATCATCAGGCTGTTTTCGAATACACGTGCGGCACGCATCACGGCAGTGGATGTGGTAGACTGCGTCCAGAACTAATGATGTACGGTAAGCAGCGTCACGGGCCCCGGTCAAGTCCCTTGCGTTGCCGGGTGCTTTATATATATGTATACATTCGCCACAAGGAATAGCCTAGTCCTTTTTCTCTTTTCTTTCCTTGTGAATTTTAACCAGTACATGTACATGTACATGTATGTTTTATCATCCTGATTCGATAATTATGAAGTTACTCGAATTTTGAAATTGTTTACTTTTAAAAAGCTGTAAACAAGGCCAGGAGATACATATGGGCCTACCGTTTCACCTCGACCCGTAAACGTGGCCACACGCTCATGCACGCTCCGTTCATAAATCTTTGGACTTAAAGCCCAAGTCCATCATTTGCAGCTATCCAAAAAAGCAACCGGCGTAATTATTGTTGAAAAACATACTGGTTGAAAGATAGTATGGGGACTAAACTCCCTGTGAAATTATCCTTTCTGGCAAGCTCTCATTTTGAAGAAATCAACGAAAGAAGGCATTTCCAACGGTGCTTCTTAAGAAGCACCGTAGGAAAATTTAAATTAGTTGTTCGTTTTGATATTCGGCGCAGCGCGTGCACAAGCATTGGAACGACGCACACGCACGCGCGTTTGCTATAATTTGTTGGATCAGTGTGCAACATCGCGTAAAGCTGCAATTCAAAACAATTTGAAACATGATTTAGCAACTTTTGATTTAAAATTGAGATCCTAGAATGCTGTTTTTCTCAGAATATGAAGCTGAAGCTGAAGCTGAGCTGAAACTTCATCAAGTAAGTTGTTCAGTATCCTTTATTAGATTTTGAACACTTCTGTTGCTTCAAACGAAAAAAATGCACTAATTACAAATGATGGACTATACCGGTAGCTTTAAAGGGGTACAAGGTTCTGAAATCCCAATTTCAAACATCTGGTTGAAAGGAAACCAACCTGTCTTACCATTCCCGAGAAAAGACAAAAAAAACCTGGTTGTTTACATCCTACGTGACGGAGTACGAATACGTTTTTCCTGTCGTACTCAGTCAATGTACAATATACACATTGTGTGTTTCCACACTGTATACAGCACCGTGCTCTTGAACAGCTGTGACCAATCACCAATGCACACTTCAACCATACTTTATGTACAGATTCGTTTGCACACGTTTGCGTATCAAAATTTCAACATGAAATTTCACGAAAATTAGACATTTGAAAAAAGCAGCACTTTCTGATTAGCCTATTAAGTATAAAGAGAGTTAGTATGCTTCTAAAGCAAAAATAAACTACAAACTAAGCCTAAATGTGAAAATCAAAATGTGACAAAGTTTGACATGTTTTTGTACATGGTTGAACATGTTGAAGTGTGGCCTTTATTTACGGAGGTAGGCCTAGGCCTAGGCCTAGTCCAGTAAATTGGCCACATTATGGGGCTAGGGGGAGGGGTGGGGGAAACAATAGGCCCATAAAGACTGCTTTAGCCTGCAAAAGTCACTTTGGTACTACTGGACAGTCATCTGCCAAAGTCAGTTTTGAACAGAACTCGTGAAAATAGAGGTGTCCTAAAGATAAGGATTACCTAGTCCCACTGGGGCGCTAGGCAGCTAGAGGGCCTAGCCTATTGTTGATGTACCCTAACGTGGCGCAGCCCCCAACGTGGCGCACTTTCATTTTTCGCCTGTAGCGCCTACCTAGAGCAAAAGTTTTAACTGAAATTTCACAGAAAGTGAAATTTCATCAAGTTCTAAACACTCCTGTTCATAAATCGCGAGGTTTTTTACTTGAACAAAGTTAGAAGAAAAATTTATTTTGGCGTGATTTTCCGATTGTATTTTCAAGTGCAAAGTGAACCCTTTGAAAATGCCAGGAAAAATAAGAAAATAATTTTCTGACTAACATCTGGCTGGGTAAGTAAGTAGAGATAATAATTATTAATCAGAATTTATCAGGTTTACAGAAATTCTTTAAAGTTAATCTGGAATTTTCCGAGATTTATTCAAGTGCGCCACGTTAGGGAAAACTCCGCCAATTTGTGCCCAATTTCCGGATGCCACCGTTCTTGAATTTCGGATTAAATTTTATGAAACCGAAATTGTTCACAGAGGTTAAAAAGCAAGCATTAATAAGGTAAAAGTACTAGTATTTTACTGCATGAATTTGAGGTTTGTCAACAAAGAGGTTTGGTAACACTATACAAGGAAATTTGGGTAAGCTTCGAAGTGCGCCATGTTAGGGAATTTTGACATTTGGGATGTTCGTACTGTAGTAGTAGGCCTACATGTAGCCCCATAAATGTGGCCTATTTACTGGACTGCCTCCGTAAACATAGGCCACACATCCACATGTACAAAAACGTGTCGCACTTTGCCAAATTTTGATTTTCACATTTAGGCTTACTTTGTAGGGTTTTCTTTGCTTTAGAAGCATTCTCACCCTCTTTATAGGCCAATCAGAAAGTGCTGCCTTTTTCACATGTCTAATTTTTGTGAAATTTCATGTTGAAATTTTGATACGCAAATGTGTGCAACTGTATCTGGAAATTTCACGAAAAACAGACATCTGAAAAAGGCAGCACTTTCTGATTAGCCTATAAAGAGGGTGAGTAAGCTTCTAAAGCAAAAAACCCTACAAACTAAGCCTAAATGTGAAAATCAAAATTTGGAAAAGTGCGACACGTTTTTGTACATGTGGATGTGTTGCCTATGATTTGTTTACGGAGGCAGTCTGTTGTGCCCATTCTTGAAAATCACGCAATCTTAAGAATGGGCGCGCATTGTTAAGAATGAGCGCGCATTCTTAGGAATGAGCGCGCATTCTTAAGAATGAGCGCGCATTCTTAAGAATGAGCGCTCATTCTTAAGATTGGCTAGGAATATCACGTGCACAATTTATGAATTTTGCACAATCTTAACAAACATTGCACAACATAATTAGGAAAGATTTCCATATACGAAGTTCACTCAACACCCTGTGTACAAACCCTATGAGATTGGACTGAACAATTCTAAGTGTTTTCTAAGAAAATGCTTGTATTTTCTCACTGCTCAAATTGATGACATGAAATTGCTATCTGGGGGCTTGTTAGTCAATACAGAGAAAATTAGTGAACTTCGCATATGGTAATCTTGCCCATAATTATGTTAAATGAAATGTATAGCGGTTAAAAGGGAAACAATTCATATAAAAAGGAAAGAAAATGTTCTATGCTTCTGTACTCGTATAACTACGATAATTTGAATCAAATTAAACCTGTTATTATTGCTTTTTTTCTGCCCACTATGGGAAGTTTTGTAATAACGGAGGACTGGGAACTAGTCTGGGAAGTGCTTTGTTTAGGCTAGAGACAAGTAACAAGTCCCTGTATGTATCATATGCATGCCACGAAAAACAAATTCTCTTTTGACTAGATAGAATCCAGCTCTGCGGCGTAATGATGGGGGTGTGAACAATAAATTGGTGGCAATTTAAATGAGAAATAGCATTAGCACTATGAGATGTCACAGTATTCATTCTCATTCTTCACATTCTTCATTCTTACGTCCCCCCCCCCCCTTTTATTATCCCAAAAATCATAATTCTTTCCAATACACTATTATTATGTCTCATATTTTTTCCCCGGTCCCCCCCCCCCCCCAATACGCGTATACTTTTCATATCCACTCTACTTTTCAGCGCCTTGCGTTGCAACAGTATAATTATTAAGACTCAGTGAACGAGGATGCTAGACTTGCCAAGCGCAGCAGGTGCTCAGTATCAACAAGACCGTTATCTTGTCGCGCATTCTTAAGAATGTGCGCTCAATCTGGAAGAATTATTTTTTGCGAAGATTGCGCAAGGATCCAGTCGCACAATCGTAAGAATGTGCATGCACATTCTTAAGATTGCGTGATTTTCAAGAATGGGCACAACAAATGTCCACATATGGGGCTAGCCTACAGTACATGTACGACAGACCAACATCCCAAATGTCAAAAAAGGAGGTCAAGCGCCCCAGTTGGTGGGACTAAGGATTACCGTGTTACTACTGCTGCTTACCTCCCCCAATGTGCCGAAATTTGTTAATTTTCCGTCACAGTTTCTTTTTATCACAGTTGTGGGCAACTCCATTTTGGAAAAGTCCGCCTCCAATTGCGTGCCGGTCAACTCGGTCCGTGACCAACTCGGTCCGAGTCAACTCGGTCCGTGACCGACTCGGTCCGTGACCAACTCGGTCCGTGACCAACTCGGTCCGTGACCAACTCGGTCCGTAACCAGCTCGGTCCCGATGGGAAAATGTGCGAAAAACAGTGCACGGCCGGTGCCCGGGCAGTGTGCCGCGCCTGGCCGCACATCCCCACCGGCCATCGCCACGGTGCACGGTACGGTACGGCCGGCCATGGGGCTGTGCGCCTGGCCGCACAGCCCCACCGGCCGTCGCCTTGATGCAGGCCGGTGACAGTGCCGCGCCCGGCCGCAGTATTATATAAGTCTGTAATCGTAAGGTCTAGGATGTCACTGACCACTGTCAGTGGGGTGTGGGTAGTGAATAACGGCAAAGCTGCAATAAATATTTTTCATGTTGGCCCCTCTGTGGATTTCTTCCCCTCTGTGGTTTGTTCCACGTTTGTACACAGTCTATGGAAATTAATTCTCGATGTGATTGGCTTCTACCGATTTCGGTAGAAGCCAATCATATCACAATATTTCAGGTAATGAGCGTTTTGATTCTTAAAAACGCGCGCAGATTGTTTTGATGTTATTCCTAATACGCAATCAGCGCTGTCTGCGTATTCGCGCAGCCAAAGTTTCGCGGAGAACGCACACGCATCCCATGGTGAGGAGTAGAAACAGATACACGCACGCGTACGTAATGCTTTGAAACGGCTCTGGGTACGCACAACATGAAGCGGTATCAATGGATCTCAACATCTTTTTGCAGGTTAACCCCAATAAAAATTATCTTTTGTTTTGAATAACATTTGAATGTCGTCTTCTTTATTCATAAATACCTCAGACAGTTGAGCTATTCCTATTGGTCGAGAGCCTGTCACGTGGCCGGTCTTAAACGGACGATAAAGACATGGCTAGCTGGTCTTAAACACTTTTCCAGTGTCACAATAAAATGTGGACTCCTAAAAATCCAGTGCCTCTTACCGTTTCATTGATTGAACGTTCACAATCCTCACGTAGGCATGCGCAACACTACAAGCGAGTCAGAATTTTATAGTTCTAAATTCAAAACGCAACGCCCCAGGTGCGTTCTGCGTGACATCGCGCAGAACATGTTACGCGCGCGCCAATCTCCATAAAAGGGTTGTTTACATCTTACTCGCCAGCTGAACACTCCATTATTTTGCTAGAGGGATGTTTCAAAAAGCATGAAGTGAACTTGTTGAACAAAATCGGGATTTTTTAAACGAATTATTTGATTTTTTTTTACGGATAAGGTATTAAATACCTTATCCGTAAAAAATTATCAATTAATTCGTTCAAAAAATCCCGTAAATATGAATGGGAATAAATATGTGCTCGGTCGGTATTTATCACTCTGTTTAATACCGCTTAGAGTCTGGGTGCTGATAATTACCAGCACCCAGACTCTAAGCGGTATTAAACGAGTGATAAAAACCTCCGGAGCACACATTTATTTCCTTATTAATTCAATCCAAGAGCAGATGATCTTAGCATTATCATCCCAATATAATGTGTTTGAACTCTACAAATTGAGATTACGTTTTAAAACTTTTGCAGATTGTTATCCAGCCTTCCGTACCTACTGAAAATAATAAACGAGACTTCAAAAATGTGTTACTTTGATTGGTCAAGCGATGTTGCTGCATATGCATAGAGATGGTGTTGCATATGCATCGATGAATACGTGCGCGTTCACGCGAGGGGAGGGGTGCTGATGGCAGATTGATCAAGTCGGAATTGCTAACTTTTGCACCACATGTATATGTACATGCTCTGCAATACATGCACACACATGTAATACGCGTGCTGTACAATGTACGTACAGTGTGTGCGCATTGTTATACGGCACTGAAGTGGAACGCGCGCTGAAGTGTACCTTGTCGGGCATCTGGAAAGAAGTAAACAAAGTGATTTTTACTACTTTTTTTTTTTTTTTTTTTTAAAGATACCGACTTAATTAAAGCAATTCCGACTTGAGTCAAGTCTAACGCAACCTCAGCTCAGCGGGCGACGGGTGGGCCGCCTTAAATACTATTGGGATCGCCTTGTCACAAAGAAATGCAATCTTTTTGCGTACATTTTCCCATAGGGACCGAGCTGGTTACGGACCGAGTTGCTCATGGACCGAGTCAGTCACGGAGCGAGTTGACCTGAAAGCCTCCAATTCCCTCTATTACAATATAGTAGCCTACGTACATATACACGTGTACGTGACAACGTGCATAGAGCTGCATACAAGAAGCCATTCTTTGTTTCTGCAGCCTAGTCAAGTCAATTAATGGGCCCCATGAACGAGTTGGCCATATTGAATTGAAGTAAATTACTAACTAATTTCAGTCTGCTTCAAAATGAATAATTAAAAAATTTTAATTCTTCTTTCAAAAAAGTACACTCCTCTTACTTTAGGATACGTGCAAAGGCAATGTTTCATGCGGGAACAAAATTTCAAGAAAAGATAAGTGCAGATCTGATCGAAACATCATTCTCTTTATGAATAAATATATTCTTTTAAAACATAAAAATAACTTCATTAATAATTTAATTAATTAATTTTGATGGCATAGTAATAATTCATATTACCTTTTTAGTTGCTTTACATTACATTTCAAGCCCTGTACACTTTTTAAAAAATGCATAATTTCTCAAAATTAAAAATATGCCTTCATATAATAATGTAATTAATTAATTGTATTAATAAATTCAACAATTAATTAATTTGACGGTATAATAATAATTCATACTATTTTTTTAATGCTTTGACTTACATATAGTACAATACAAACGCTGTATAATTTAAAAATACATAATTTCTTTTAAAAGATAACAAATTCGTTAATTCATTTCATTAATTCAGTTATTTAATTAACTAATTAATTCAACAATTAATTAACAAATATTTTGTTTACTTCGAAACAAAATCCTGTACAAATCCGCGCATTAGCTTAATACTGTTTAAAAAGAAAGGGAAAAGGGCACTTTTAGGCATTGTCTCATCAAGCACAGGGATGGTGCTATTAATCAGAGAATAATCTTCTTTTAAAATGTTACATATCTGCATAATTTTGAGCCCCCCCCCCCCCCCCCAGGGAAAAACAAATCAGTATAGCGGCTTTGCGTAAGTTTTCACGATAAGTGCATACAGGAAAATCTAATTTTTACCTATAGAAAAGACATCTTAAGAAGATTGGATGTTCCCAACTCATCCGAAACATCATCAACTCCATTACCTTATCAGCATCGGACATGATGGGCACAACAGCTGAGCACCGCCGAGGACCAGTCAAGGCCTTCACCACACTGGGTGTGATCTCTCCAGATCGTCTCTAGCAACACCTCTACATCCAGGTTAACATTAACGCGAGTGCAAATACCTTACCAATTTGAAAGAACATAGTGAACATAGTGGATGCGTCAAATATACGTATACAAGTGGAGAAACCAACCCTCCCAATGAAGGCATATACCGTTTCCGGAATCATCTGGCATGGCTCGATACACCTTACCGGCAGAATGACTGGCAGTTCCAAGTGGTCAACGGTGCCAGCACCAGCTATCGCTGGGCTCCCTATACGAGCCGCACGTACCCTACGAGCCGCACCCTACACTGAGTGACAATCCACACGGGAACACAACCCCCAAGCCCCAGGCCCCCACAAGAACCAAAGGGCTGACCCTAACGGCTACCACTCCGGGACATACAAGACCTGAAGGACCCGCTGCCAACGCAGTTTGATACCTTCGATGACTTAGATGCGCGCTTTCCTACACCTCAGCTCCACCATAGAGCTCCACATAAATCCGCCACGTATAGGTGCAGCGCTCATGTCAAACCAAAACCGCAGGCCGAGCTGAAAAAGATGGATAAAGACTGGGTCATACGAAAAGTCTCCCATTGCACAGACGGGTGCCGCTCAGTCACAACAACTGCCAAAAATACGGCCCATTCAGGATGTGTCTGGATCCCAAGCAGCTAAACACACGCCTTAGTTCTTCTCAAAGCTGGACGTCAAAAGCAGGGTATTTGTCTTCCCGTCTCGAGCATAGCAGTCTGAAGAGCTGACAACATACAATTTGGTTGTCGGCAGCTTTCGTCGCCCACTCATCGGCTTATCAGTAAGCCAGGATAATAGTCCAACCCAACGACATTGCAGTACATATTCGGTCTCCCTTGGGAAGCAATACGAGCGACCGAACGTCTCATCGCCCTGATGGAAACCGTCGGTTCTTTAGCATACTTCAACAAGTTGTCTCACACTACACCCCAAATTGCGCAGAATTTCTCGCTTCAGCGATCTTCTTCACAAAGATTTTCCATTTCTCTGGCAAGAGGACCATCAAGCTTCTTTTGTAACCCTTAAACACTCCATCTCAACTCAGTCCTGGCTACGATTCTCCGACCCACAGGTATAGAAACCATCCTCAAAGTACTGCATCTGAATGAGGATTGGGTATCACCTAGGAAGGTAAACCCATCGCATTTGCCTCAAAGATCCCATAGATACTCTTCCCAGAGCATATTCTCGATTATATAACACCAGAATAAATCCCCGTCATCTGATTGGTGGATCGTTGATCACATGTCATTGAATTATTTGTACCAACGTACGGCACGCGCGTGGCGTGCAGCGCACAGTGCAATGGAAGTTCTATTGCACTGTGAATAGAGCTTCCAAACTGTGTCACTGCTGCTGGTGGTGGCGCTGTTTTAAATAGTATACAAATATTGAGTGGCTCAGCGTGGAATGGGAGGAATATTATCGCAAGGTAAAATCTGGACTTTTCCATTTCACGAGGCGAAGCCGAGTGAACTGGAAAAGTCCAGATTTTACCGAGCGATAATATTCCTCCCATTTCACAATTTAAAGCCACTCAATATTTGTTTTATATACTACTGACATATAGATCCTTGTCATTTGATACATTTGAACTCTTTTTCAATACGAAACTGGAGGAAAATCTATTTCTCTAGTCCAAACCACCCCTTCACGAAAATGTTTGAACCCAACGCTGTAGCGCTGGCTCTTTGGAACAATACGCGCTACGCGCAACGCTGAACGCGCACACCAGCATGCATTTGCACACAAATACCGCGTCATGATCCTAACTGTTGAATAGTATTTCCCATTCCCCATGGGCGGATAGTACTTTTTGAGCCGCGGCGTAAATGGGAGCAATAACGAATGTCATGTGATGTGAGTTCCACCAATCAAATGACTAGGATCTGTATGTCAGTTATATAAAGATAAATTGAATATGATTGTTCTCAACCTGTTGAACAGTTTGCATCTATACTACAATTCAAGGAATCTCTGTCTGTCTGTCTGTCCGTCGATTATCTCCAGAACCGGGCACCGTATGAAGTTGAAAATCGGCGGGTATATTTTTCGGGACAACAGAATGTGCAGTGCAAAGTTTGAAGTTGTTTGGACCAGCGGTTCTCGAAAAAGCTGAAAAAAGCAGTATTTTCTGAGGCAAACGTGGCAGTATATCTATACTACAATTCAAGGAATCTCTGTCTGTCTGTCTGTCCGTCTGTCTGTCTGTCTGTCTGTCCGCCGATTATCTCCAGAACCGGGCACCGTATGGAGTTGAAAATCGGCGGGTGCATTGCTCGGGACAGCAGAATGTGCAGTGCCGAGTTTGAAGTGGTTTGGACCAGGGGTTGTCGAAAAAGCTGCAAAAAAGAAGTATTTTCTGAGGCCTAGCGCGCCAGAATATAGCCTAGAACCCGGCGCGCACTGATTTTCTTTTCAATTGTTTACGTCATGTTTGAGCAAGAGCGCGCGTGCTTAATATGACGCAACAATGAAAAAAAGGACGGGCACATTGTAGGGCGATAGCACTGCACACCATGTCTTCGTACGTGAGTGGCATGCACGGGCACGGGCACATGCATTTTGTAGTCAACTGAGCAACCATCACTGCACTGTATGTAGGCGGTCGACTGAGCAACTCTAATACAATATGGTATCGCCCTACAACTACACCAGGGCTACAGTTGTAGGACGATACTATATTGTCCAGTAGGGGAAAATATCAGTCCCGGGGGGGGGGGGGGTGACGACATTTTGTGCGTTTAACTTGCGAGTGTGCGTTCACACCATTGAATAATTTGCGTTATTTGCACGAGCTGCAGTTCTCAACTGCCCCTTCCGAACATAACACTACGCACTGCCGTTCTTTTCAATTGTTAACGTCGTGTAAAGCTAAACCGCGCGTGCTCAATATGACGCAAACAATGCAAAAAAGACGGGCACGCGCCATAACTCTATGGCACGCGCACGGGCATTGTAGGGCGATACTATTGTCCAGTATGGGTGAATATATAGCATTGCGTACCATGTTACCGTTTGTACACGTACCTACGTGGTGGCTGGACGGGCACATTATTTTTGCAGTCGACTGAGCGACCTTACTGCAGGACGATACCATTGTCCAGTAGGGGTGAGTAATATCTGCGCTATTTTTGAAGCTTTTTTTTTTTGAGAAACACTCGCCCAAACAATTTCAAACTTGGCACAAACTTTGACGTGAGTGTGCGTTCAACCTGTGAAAACAACACCATTGCATCGCGTGCGTTGTTTGCACGAGCAGTTCTCAAAAACTCTGCAAGCATGAAACCAATACCTGCGGCAAAGCAATTTGCGCTTCCCAAACAAGCACATTTTAGACGGTACAGCACGGTTGTACGCGTACGAGGACGTGAGAGGCTGCACGGGTTTACGCATTTTGTCGTCGACTGAGCAACAATTACTGTAAGCGACTGAATGAGCAACCTTTACTGTAGGACGATACCATAGTCCAGCATGGGTAAATATCAGTGCAAGGGGATGGCGACGTGTACAAAGTGCGCGTTTAACCTATAAATGTGCGTTCAACCTGTGAAAGCTAGCAACATGTCGTGTGCGTTGTTTGAATGAGCAGTTCTCTGCCCCCTCCAAACATACACATTTTCAACGGGCCCTGCACTAGTAGCTTAGAACATAACACCCGCACGCACTGCCGTTCTTTTCAATTGTTTACGTCATGTTTAAGCTAAAGCGCGCGTGCTCAATATGACGCAAACAATGCAAAAAGGACGGGCACGCGCACGTGCATTGCAGGGCGATACATTGTCCAGTATGGGTGAATACTAATGGATCAATGGGTGAATAGCACTGCATGCCATGTTTTCGTATGTGCACGGGCACATTATTTTTGCAGTCGACTGAGCGACCATTGTAGGTGGTCGAACTTCAAACTTGGCAAAAATTTGACGTAAGTGTGCGTTCAACCTGTGAAAACAACACCATTGAATCGCGTGCGTTGTTTGCACGAGCAGTTCTCCAAAACTCTGCAATTATGCAACCTATACCAGCGGCAAAGCAATTTGCGTTTCCCGAACATGCACATTTCAGACGGGCACTGCACTAGTTAATATAAATATGATTGCAAAAAGTTTCGCTGGAACTACGCTGCATCGGTGTCCTGTTTATTACGTCACGATTGACTATGTTTTGTTTGCTGCCCCCAACGACGACTTTTACACAAATTGCACGTTCGGGTCGAAACAGGACCTGAAAAACAGCTCTCAAAAGTACCTTTTGTATTCATTTCATGACAGAAACAAGAGTCGTTTTTATTTCATCACACCTTAGACTGCATATACCCGAAAAATGACAGAAATGTCTTCGAGCATTCCACAACCTCTTTAAACAGATTTTAACCTTTATAAATTAGCTATTAAAAGTCAACCAATCAGATGACAAGGATTTATTCAGGTGTTTTATAAAACAAATAATGATTGTTTCACGTTCGTGCAATGGAAAGAATAATTTCATTTGGTTCATTTGGCTTCGCCTTGTGGAATGGAACATTTCGGTCACCCACGTGACCGAATGAAATTAGTCTTACCGTTGAATTATTGTATACTGACTATTGTTGGTTGCAGAAAAAAATAATTGCTGACCGGCGCATGCGGCACTCTCCTCGACCCCGCGTCACACTCGTATCTTTAGGATTTTTGCTGGGGACGTGGTTGAAACTTCACCACTTTTAAGACATGCAAGATGGCGGCTCGCATGTCGTGCATGTGGCGATACGTGGTAAGTAAGTCATAATTTATGGATAATAATAAGACCCAGGCAGAGCGTCCTGTATAAAAGTATGGGAATTTATTAGCCCCACTAGTGTGACCGCGGTATGCTGCGCTGAACCTCTGGCCACACGCCGTGTTACCGCGCACTACTGAGGGCGTTTTCATAAAAATTAGGCAGTGGATATTTTGCCGGAGACGGCAAACCTTTAGTAAACGTTAGTTTGCCGGATATGCACTGAACATGCGCCGTTGCTGGCACAATTGCAGAATACCCCGCCACTCGATCTATCCACCTCGTACTCGTAGCCGGCTACGAGGTCACGGTTGATTGACCGCAATAAACATTCTCAGTGCTACTTGTATGTACTATGCGTCATGCTCCATTGCACTCCCACTTCGTGACCGCGTAGCCGCCAACAGGGTAGTTCGTTTGGACTTACCGGTAGATTTTTTTCAGCAACTCCCATTCCTTTTGTGTTGCTTCGTTCTCAAGCATATTTAAGGGACTCCCACTCCGTAGCCTCGTACTCGTAGCCGCCAACAGGGTAATTGGTTTGGACTTAGAATTTTTTTAGGAACTCCCATTCATTTTGTGTTGCTTCGTTCTCAAATAATGGACCCCCACTCAGTATCCGCGTAGCTGGCAATGGACTTGAATTGTTTCTTTTGCTGCAATTTGCAGTGATTCCAACCTCGTAGCCAGTGATTTTAGGGGTGTATTTCCGAGTGGCGGGGTATTCTGCAATTACTCCCAGTTACTGTTTTTTGGGCAAGATTACCATATGCGAAGTTAGTCCGAGTAACTTGGACCCAACTTATCGCCTTTTTTAACATTTGGACATGGTCTGGCGATAGTGGGGTCCAAGCTAATACCGCGACCTGGACAACATCATCCTGTCACTGTCCCAAAAACCAACATTTGCCAACAAAAAACATCAGATTTCACCTTCAAAACGGCCTCCAAATTACTAGATATGCCACTTGAGGTACAAGTAGACATCGATAATTAAGATGGTTGTACTGAAGTTTACTTACGATCCGGAAAAAAAGGTGAAATTTTCCGTTCATTTCGGAGAGCTCCCCTCGCGATCTTGAACACGTTAAATTTCCGATCGTGTTTAATGTTTGAACGACGCGATTTCTTCTACATGCCCAGCGTACATTCGATGGTCCCCGTATCCCGAGTGCGATTCCGTTACCGAGCGCGCGCGATGCATTGATTATGATAATGAGTAGACTGGATCACGTTTAACACATGTGCATTTCAAACGATAATAGGGAGTCGGGAACTAGCGCAGCTTTTATGGCGGGTACCAGTTCAAGCTGGTTCCCGATTCCCTTTTACAGTTCGAAATGCACATGTATGTGTTTACAAACGTGACTCATTATCATAATCGATGCATCGCGCGCGCTCGGTAACGGAATCGCACTCGGGATACGGGGATCATCGAATGTACGCTGGGCATGTAGAAGAAATCGCGTCGTTCAAACATTAAACACGATCGGAAATTTAACGTGTTCAAGATCGCGAGGGGAGCTCTCCGAAATGAACGGAAAATTTCACTTTTTTTTTCGGATCGTAAGTAAACTTCAGTACAACCATCTTAATTATCGATGTCTTCTTGTACCTCAGGTGGCATATCTAGTAATTTGGAGGCCGTTTTGAAGGTGAAATCTGATGTTTTTTGTTGGCAAATGTTGGTTTTTGGGACAGTGACAGGATGATGTTGTCCAGGTCGCGGTATTAGCTTGGACCCCACTATCGCCAGACCATGTCCAAATGTTAAAAAAGGCGATAAGTTGGGTCCAAGTTACTCGGACTAATGCGAAGTTTACTAATTTTCCTCTGTATTGACTAACAAGCCCCCAGATAGCAATTTCATGTCATCAAAGTCAATTTGAGCAGTGAGAAAATACAAGCATGACAAGCATTTTCTTAGAAAACACTTAGAATTTTTCAGTCCACTCTCATAGGGTTTGTACACAGAGTGTTGAGTGAACTTCGTATATGGAAATCTTTCCTTTTTTTGTACTAAAACATTTTCCGGTGACAAATTTTAGTCTGGCTCCATTCCAATATTATCGCTGTAACCTCGTAAGTCGTATTCACAAGATGGGATTCAGACCATTTTATAATTTCGGACTTTATTTCCCTTTAAAAAAAATCCTCCAGAGCCATAAATCTGAAAAAGAAATGTAATGCTCTGCAATAAAATGTTTGAGACATGTTAAAATAATAAAAGAAGAACATTCTTATTTATTTGGGGATGGGAAAAAAAAACTTTAAAATGTGGCGGGGATCGGGATCGAACCCGAGTCATCCCGCTCACTAGAGCTTTTGCTTAACCACTACACCAAACGTGCTACACAACTTTTGGTGGGAATTTAATACATCTTATAATCCAGCCCTATCTTAAAGAGTACAGCGCCCTCTGTTGATATGGATTGCCGCCGGCAAACCTTTAGTAAACGTTAGTTTGCCGTCATTACCTCCGGCAAAATATCCACTTACAGGCCTTCATTTTTAAGGAGCACGAGCGCGATCGCGCTCCTTCGCGCTCCTTAACACGGTTTCTGGCGCGCGAATAATAGCGCTCCTGGGTAAATTTGTAAGCTTATTAATTGTCGACTCCAGTTTTTGTCTACATAAAGCCAACAGTAAAATCTTGTCAATCCAAATTTTATATACTTGATTTCTTAACTTGTCATCCCGATGTTTGAACGATTTTGTTGCAAAAAAAATCAACAAAAGTAAGTCGAATACCTACGTAAAATCCACCCATAATCATCGCAAGGATTTTGTAAATATCGCAGTAACTAGACTCGAGCCATCCCATACATCATGTACATGGACAACATTAGCCATTTTCTTTTCATCAACGACATGTAGCACGTTCCATTATGATCAAGGCAGGGTACGGGTACTGGCAGGATCGTCATTCAGACGTGCACCGCCATTAAGTGAATAAAATGAAAGAATAATTTCGGTTGAGATCAGTTTATAAATTAGTTTATAAATATTTATAATGTAAAACTAAATATATAAACCTCCGATGAAGTGAAAACACAAAACAATTATGAAATGGATGGGCTGAGCAATTAAAACCACCTACTTTTGGGTTGGAAATACCTTACGAAAGGTTGAGCTCATTTGTCCCACAACGATAGAGTGCAGAGCGTTTTTCCGTGTGTCGACTACCGGGCTATGCCCGCAAGCGCGGCCGGTCAACTGGCCACCCGTGCACGGTGACATTGTTTGTGCGTAGTACCATTCGACATTTTGTTATGGCGTTTAATACTTGTACATTTCTGTGACCTTACTTTCGATCCTTTTATTTTTTGTGCCCAAAACCAAATATTCATATAATTATTTTCCTTTTCTATTTTACTAATTTTGAGGATTTATTTGACAAAAAAAGTATTTCTTTGACAGATGTATGATGACCAGACTTAAAGTAATTGGATTTTTTTTTGGGGGGGGAGGGGGCTCTATTCATCAATTTGGATATAAATTTAGAACCCCTCAAAAACACGGTGACACCACATGATACATATTCAAATTTAAACAAAAACAGGTTTTTAGTAAAGTTAGTAAACCAAAACAAACTATTTGATAAAAAAAAAACCAATCAATAAAAACTGAAATAAACAGTAAATAAAACAAAAAATAAAAATAAAATAAAGTGAATATAATAAAAACGAAGTAAAATAGAACAAAAAAGAAACACTAAAGAACCACAAATCAACTCCACTTTGTTTTTCATTTTTATTTCCAATTCCACATCCGGATGATTCACAAACAAGTAAAACTTAAACCTAAATTGACATGAATTAAGCACTCAATTTGTAGTGAACAGTCGCATCTGTTTCTCAGTTCTGATGCAAGTGTGTGTGCATGATATGAAAGACTTCAGGAAATGATTTGGATTCATTTTTTACTTTGAGCACAAAACATGCAAATTGAGCTCCTCGGACTTCCCAGGAGAGCAATTTTGGGTGCTCAAATTGAGCTCCTCGGATTTCCCAGGAGAACGATTAACTGAGCTCCACGAATTTCTAAAAATGAAGGCCTGCACTACCTAAAAATTACGGTCCGTTTCTTACATATGGTTGTATTCTATGATGTCCCATCTATCACTTCTGTTCTGGGATGCTTAGGACGGTGTAATGATGTTCAATTTTCCGAGATATTCTTGAATCTTTCTGGAGCCCATAATTATGCACTCATGAAACGTCTGGTTATGGCAGCCATTTTGAATGTGACCAGAGATGACCTCAAGCTGTGACGTCGCGTTTATGCAAATTGCTTGTCGAGCGAGGGTGCGAGTTACAAATGCGGCGGCTGTTTCCTGTGTCGTAGATCCTGAATAGAGATCAGTGCACGTGGCCCCCAGACGATAAATGCATGGTACAGGAAACAGCCGTCGCATTTGCAACTCGTGCCCTCGCTCAACAAGCAATTTGTATAAACGCGACGTCACAGCTTGAGGTCATCTCTTGTCACATTCAAAATGGCTGCCATCACCAGACGTTTCATGAGTGCATATGGGCTCCAGAAAGATTCAAGAATATCTCGGAAAATTGAAGTTTGAACATCATTACACCTAAGCATCTCAGAAGTGATAGATGGGACATCACAGAATACAACCATATGTAAGAAACGACCGTAATTGTTTTGAAAACTTCGTCCTCAGTAGTGCGCGGTACCACGGTGTGTGGCCAGAGGTTCAGCGCAGCATACCGCGGCCACACTAGTGGGGCTACCCAGAAGTGATAGATGAGACATCATAGAATACAACCATATGTAAGAAACTGACCGTAATTTTTTTGAAAACTTCGTCCTCAGTAGTGCGCGGTACTACGGTGTGTGGCCAGAGGTTCAGCGCAGCATACCGCGGCCACACTAGTGGGGCTAACTTCTGGGATGCTTAGGTGTAATGATGTTCAATTTTCCGAGATATTCTTGAATTTTTCTGGACCCCATATACACTCGTGAAAGGTCTGGTG